TTTTTTTAATAATTATTATTCTTCAAGGTGGCCTATTTTATTATTAATATTTTAGTATTGCTGTAAACTTTAAATATATATTTTAACTTTTTATAAAACATTATATTATTACTATTATATCGTTGTAATTTTTAAAATATATCAACTTTTTATATTTTTTTGATATAATTATAAATGAAGGTTACGTTAAACCGCTCATTCATAAAAAGTCAATCACTTCTTTCTTTCCGAAAAGTGAACTGCAGGAAATGAACGCAGGTCATTGGCTGCATATTGAAAAACCGCAAGAATTCATTGGCCACGTAAATTCCTTTTTAGGTAGCGAATAAAGTTGTATATCGTAAAGAAAAGTTTATTATTTTTTAATTTAAAATGTAACCATTTTTTTTATTGTAATAATTTTTTTCTGTATGTCTCTCTCTCAATTGACTGATTTTAAACTCATAAGACCAGTAATTGGCTATTTTTTTAAAAGTCACTATCGCCTCTAAAAAGGGATACTAAAAATTTTCAACTTTATTCACCTTTTCATTGACTGAGTTAAATTCATATCACTAGTGATTGACTATTAAAAGTGTCTTTTCGTTCTTTAAAGGTGGACGTCATTACCCTTTCTTTTGACTGATCCAAACTCATTGTTAGTGACTATTTAAAGTCCTTCTTTCCTTCATAAAGTAAACGTTATCCGGTTCGCATTTGTTACTATTTTGATAAAGTTTTTAACCACTTTCCTTTATTTTACTTTTGTAAACAATTACTTTATGTACTTTATGTAAAAATTGATTAGCATTATCATAAATGCACGGAAAGAACTGCTAAACCGATAAAGAGGGGTATTTTCAGCAAGATTTTATTTTGTGTGCTTCGTGTAGCGGTAGCTTATAAGGCAAGCCAACAACTCTCTAAAAGGCAGTTTAGAAAAATTTAGGTAACAAAGCAAATGCTGAGGCTTAACAAAAAAAACCAAAATTTATATGAATTAAAATAAAAATTAAACAAAGATAATCAAGCGAAACGCAATTTTTTACTCATGGCGAACGAAACAAATTTTTTAGAATTAAAGTATTTATAGATGCCAACTATACATCTGAACCGAATTAAAAAGTAAAAGTAAAATTATTATAATCAAAAATGGGTGCTCAAATGTATGCTCAGATGTGGGGAAGTCAAAGCGTCAGAACATAACAGCTTTGTCGTAAGCTGAGGCTAAGTAAGTTACTCTGCAATGTGCATTCGGTATACCAAATATATACGTCTTCTAAACAAACTTAGATATCCTGCTGGAAAATTGCATATATTTGTTGATAACCGGACGACTAACACATTGCTAACGAACATACGAAAGTAAATTGTCCTGATATATTAACTTAAGATGCCACCTTGTTAAAGAATATTCGGAAGATGGAAACATCGAGCATAAATATTGTCACACCGGGAATATGCCTGCGGATATATTCAAAAAGATATTATGTGGAAAGAAATTACTAAAAAGTACGTGATAAAATACTATTTTTAAAAATATATTAAAATTTGTGCTGTAAGGGGTTAAGGGGTATGTTTAGAATTTTTCTACAGCACGAATATAAAAATTCATTGAGGTTAACTATTTTTTTGTTTATAAGGTACTTTTTTTAGGCACTGCCGACTTCGTAAGTCATATTAAACCGCTTAATCTGAAATGTACCTCTTTTGTAGGGGTTGGGGCTCGGGTGCCTATCTGTGTACGCTCTTTATAGAGCTATAATGACTGCCCCCAAGGACTGGAAAAGCGGAAGACATCGGGCTCGGACTTCCGCCATTCGGCATAGAGTAGTAAAAAACCGCCCATAAAACTACCATCAAGAGGGACAGCCTAAGGCACAAGACTCGAGGAGGTCACCTGGAGACACCGGCCGGCCTCACTGCCAGCTAGGCCTCCCCGATTATGAGCCCATCACTCAGTAGGGAGAAGCGCATTGGGTACTTTTTAAATTAATTTATGGGTATATATATAATTTTAATAAAACATGCGTGGAGGTCCTACGACTTATCGGCAATAAAGTCCTCGCTTCAACTGAGACAAAACAAACTGCTGCGTTTTTAAGTATTAACGCGCCGTGGTTTGTGCGTAATGGCACACTTCACCATGAACTACAGGTTAAGCTGCTGACCACAATCTTTAAAAATGGTGCCATTGCTCTCTATGAACAGATAGCTGGATACGCTAACCGCTTTTTAGCGGAAGAACTTACTAGTTTTGGGACGGCGCACAACACAATACCGCTGCATGACGGTCGAGAGCTAAGTTGGGGGTTTAAATCGAACGTGAAGATCACATGCTAAGGCAATAATTTTACTCGTACTCGCGCACGCGAGCTCGTGTATTCGAAGTTGTTAATGATCGAGCACCAGGAAGCGCCATTAATTAATAATTAAATAAATGCGTGCAAGGGTCTCCCATCGTAAGTGGTGCTGGCCTGTGTCTCCAGGTGGTTCGGGTCTTGTCCTGCTTTTCCAGTCCTTCGGGGCGGTCATCATAGCTCTATAAAGAGCGTACGCAGAGAAGCACCCGAGCCCCAACCCCTACAAAAGAAGAACATTTAGATTACGCGGTTTAATATGGCTTACGAAACCAGCAGTAGTATGTCAGTGCCTCAAAAAAAGTGCGTGACTCGTCCTTTATTTACTCAGATCTTTTTCTACTTTTCGGTGTACACTGCGCCTTTGTTGTTGTGGTTTATAACATTAATTATGAATGGATTTTTTTAGCATAGCCGTTGAGATATAAACAAACTTTAAAAAACTAATATTAACAAATAAAGTTAATTTCTTTTGATTTTAACTAACTAATATCGTATTCGTTTAAAAATCGCTGCAAAAGAATAAAGAGTACTTTGTAGCGGTCATTATACTTTTCGGTGAACATATATGTTAAAGGGTATAAACGAAGAATAGTATGCCAGTTAAAAAATAAAATTAAAAATACAACTTTTATGGTGTTTAGAAATTTATATCTTATGCACCTAGAGACGAGCAGTTATTTTAGTAGGGAACGTAAAAGTATGTATTTAAGTTTGACAAATATGTTAATATTTTTAAGATTACAAGGATGTACATGTAAATTAAAACTTAAAGAAATTCTATAAATCCTTATTTCCATTTAGCCTGTATTATTGGACAACGTAATATAAGTAGTTACGATATAGAGTTTAGAAAAAACTATTAACATTCGCTTACGGTTCCCTGTGTTTACTAGTAAAATTTAAATTTAATTGAGTTCGTGCTTGGGCAAGTTAGATTGATAAGAAGGCTATATAAGAATAAGTCAAGGAAGAGTTTTGAACCTCAACGCAAGAGTTGAGAAGTATTCAAGGGAATATTAAAACCTTTAAAGTACTAACGATTTTTTCTATACCTGTTGTATAGTGGTCTTATAAAGTACTAGTGTATTCGGACTTATTGGGACAAAAGATGTCTAGACTAAGATCATAGGAAGAATCTGGATAAAAAGAAGTTAAGAAGTGAGACCCCTAGATTGCTTAATGGGAATAGGTAAAGGGAAAAGAGGAATAATAAAGTATCCTGTGATGGTCACAATGGCAGTAAAGTATTTAATTATTAATAGCATTATCAAAAGCACAAATATTAATCAGAAATAATTGGTAGTTATTAATAGTAACGCAAATGATATTGGCATTAAAACTAAAGGTAGTAATAAGTAAGGGAACCTCAAAAGACGGTACGAGAAAAATATTACACAGGACTGAAAAAAGGCGGAAGATTAATCAAGAATTTCCTAAGGCAGTTGTTAAATATAACTTAATGTAAGTTAAACTAATTTCAAGTTCCGAAAATAGTTTGTTAAATTTGGGGTTAAAAGTCAGTTGGAAAAATTAAAAATCTCTTAGTGTTTAATTTGAATATTTGCTCTTCTTTGTTGAATGGTAGGCGCCAGAAGATGTAGTTAAATGGTAACTATGTTAGGTTTAACCTAATGTGCTTTTAATAATTTAAACTTATAAAAGGTTTGCGTTTTCAGTGATAATATGTTATACAGGAGCTATATAATTGGGGATTAATAAATTTTTAAAAGAGTAAATGTTAATAGTTTTATTGATATTCGAAAATACCTGGTAGTATTACTTTAAGAGATACAGAAAACAAGTCATCCTAAGTCAATGCGTAAACGAGTAAAGAGTAAACTATAGCTTTAGAGGGAAGTTACAACTTCAAAAGGGACTTGATGGTAAAATGCGATATGAAAGAGAAACCCTGAAAGGTAATACTACGATGACTGTTTCTTCCTATAGCGAAATAGGAATTCACATACAAGGTCCGATTATAATAAAAAACGAAACTAAATACAGATTTTAGTGGAGATGCCCTGCACAAGTAAGTTTAGTTAAAAAGCGGATAACAGCAAAATAAGGCGCTCAGGAGGGCGTGTATTTACATGAAAGAATAAATGTTAGTACAATAGAGAAACAAGAGTACAATAAGTTTGCTTATAAAGCCCGGGGGAGAATGTGACACTTTATAGAGGTTTGGATAAATAATCTGCACAAAGTATGAGGCGCTTGGAACACTCAGGCATAAGCCGGCTAAGAATAAGACAGGTGTTAGCTTTCAGCAGAAATTATCCGAAGTTTCATAATAAGGCTCTTAAAAGGGCTAAATAATTCCAAGTTCCTCAATAAAGATTGCTACCTCTTAGGCTATATCTCGTCGTAACCCAAAGGACTTCCTTTTTATAATGTGGCAATTTATCGGTAATACTTTATAAGCATAGTAAGGAACGGGAATTTTAAGAGTTCTTTCAGCTATAAAAGTGGCATATATGGGCTTCTTTAAGAGAATATAAAAATAAAAATATTGAAATAAGGAGTTCTTTTTCGTAAGAGCTTTTGGATTATTAATGCCATGCTGGTCCAACCGGCCTTATATTCCTCCCCCATATGGAAGGCACCTTTTCTGGAGCATCCAATTCAGGATGACGAGCGACTAACAGTTTTTACGATGATGGCTATCTCCCCTTTCTGTATTTATAATAATCGACTATTAGCAAAAATTAGACCTAGCGCTTGTACCCCTAACATTTAAGCTGTTTTAAAAATCCCACTTGAAAACAAGTCTCCCCCACCATAAAATTACCGAAGACACCAAAACTTCCACCAAGTTCTAAATGCTTAAGATGAGAATTTGGTATACATTTTCCTCTAGCATATACTCTAAATATTGTTGGTTTATTTATTGTATTGCTTTTAACTAGGTTGATAAATCGAGTGTAGCCAAACTTATTAGTATATCTAGAAACTTGGTTTATTTATTTAACTAATCGTCGCACTAACAAAGGCTGGACTTCCACGCAGAAAAAGAAAAAGAACTTAGCATCTTAAGAAAACTCTTCATTAACATTGTCAATCCACTACCCCTGAAAAGGACATCACCTGAAGGAGCAGAATACCATATATTATGATTGCCGGTTTTAACTCCCTTTCTACCTTATCTAATGGTTTTCATATTTGAATTCATTCCAATATATTACCAATATAGCAGATAATTACGAACCCTAACAACTGAACGTTGTGACAGGCCTTTCTTTTTGATTAAACTATTTACACAGTTCTTAAAAGATATAGCAGCTGTATTACCGCTATAATAAACATAATATTCCGCAGTTGTTATTAATTTAGTTGAACTTGTTTCTTTTTGGTTAAAGAAGGTTAACAACTAATTGTTGTAAGAAGCTTGTATAAGAACTATTTATTTTTTTAAATGGAGTCAGCTTTGCAACAAAAGACAACAACTGTCACCTAATCAGTATATAAATTGTTTTTTTTTTTTGGTGACTATCTGTCAGCCCAAGATATGTAAAATAGTTGTGGAACAGTAATACTAAGGCGTTCGTCAGGTTGCTGAATCTTCTTATACTGCAAAAGCAACTTTTTTTTAACAACCTAAATACCATCTAGAAAATAGAGTTGTTGTTGTTAGAGGTACAAGCCTAGTTTCTTTAAGTAATCAACGATCTCTCTTTAAGCTGTGTAATAATAAAAAGGGCTACGAAAAACGTTTCGAGACTTTATGACACAAAGGAACAAAGAGTCAGGATTCAAACTATCTCGTGAATGTTTTAGACTGAATACACTAAACTGGACTAAAGTTTCTTTGGTATAACATATATATTTTGTACATTTATTAGAGTTTTATTTTATTACACCAAGGCTAAACAAAAACAACTTCTTACAGAAAAACATATGAATAATAGATATGAATGGGGATTGTAGACGACTTGGCAAGTATTATTATCAGTGAGGAATGAAAATTCGATGTTTTGTTTAGTAGATTTTCGGAAAAGTGTTATCAGGCCAAAAAAAAATTTAAGCTTTTCATGTAGCCTGCATTGGACGCACCGCCAAACCCCTAAATGGGGGGTGATGTTTAGGGGCTTATGTCAGTAAAAAGCTATGGTAACATTGAGTTTAATAGACGGTATTGTAAACGCAAAGAAGTATTAAAAATATTAATAAATAGTCTTCTCCCGAGTTGCAACAAGTTGTATGCTGAGAAAAAGATTTTTTTCTTGGGTAAAGGTACTATATTAAAAATAATAGACTCTCTTGTCATACAGCCAAGTCAACACAAAAACGACTCTCCAAGAAGAGATCACAGTTTTGTCATGACTTTCTAGTAGCTCAGACCTTAGTATTATCAAAAGATTGACATAAGATAAAGCAGCAATTACAAAATAACCCTCAAATAACTATTCCAGATTTAAAGTCAAAACTGGAAGACATTGACACGAATTTTAGTAATCTTCAGCAGCAGCCAATGCCTTCCAAAATAGTAGCGATGTTAGGGTGAAAGATGTAACACCATATTAAACTGCACACTATTGGTTTTTTCTCATAGTATATTTTCACGAATTATCCTGTTTTTTGTAAGTTATCAAATTATAATTAATCTGTAGGTTTATTACGGACTTTTTATTTGTTACATATATTGCATAATTTAGTTATTAAACGTTCATATTCTTTCAGTTTCTATTAAATAAAAATACATGGAATGAATAACGGGCCTGTCACAACAATTAGTTGTTAGGGCTCGTATAATATTGGCGGGGAAGTGATTCGAAGCAAAGCAAATAGACTACTAATTTTCTTAGCTTTTTTACTACACTAGAAGGTGCCCTCCCCGCTTTGAGGGGAGAGGAAAAATCATTTAAAAATTTTAAAAAATTATGTTCATGTGTAATTTTCTTTTTTGCGAGTAAGCTCTTAAATAAGACTATCCAGTTATCTTAAAGAATGTGCACTGTTAGGGTTATGTATAGTTTTTAAGTTAGTTAATTTAAAGACTGACTTTCCAAAAATATCCTTTTTTAGCATATGCTAAGGGTACATCAATTTTATAATAGAATTGTTTTGTTTGGATTAAGATTGATTCAAGAGCTATTATTAACTAAACCTGGAAAAAGAGGACTGTATCGTTTTTTACCGATAAGAGATAGACTTCATTCATCATTCTCTTATATATTATACGACGTTAGTAAGAATTCATCAGATTTATTAATTATAAAATAAAGGTAAAATGTAGCTAATTCGGAACTGCGGGCTCATGAATGTAGTAATTTTCATATTAAACATGATTAATATGTACAATGCGCTTTTTCTATTTTGCAAAAGATGATTCTTTGGGTGGAAACGTGGTTTTTAAAAATGTCATATAGGGCATAGCTGACAATAGATATCAGGGCGTGGCGCTTCCAAGTAACTCTTCAGGGCTTTACAGCACTAATATTGTTACTTTATGAAAAGCTTAAAATATGCGAAAAAACTATTAGGGCTTACGAACTTTTTAAAATTCCTTATATACCTATCTTTACACTTTTGTATAGCAACTTTACGCCCCTCTCTCATGGAAATCCCGGTTAGCTCAGCCGGCAGAGCGCTTGGCTGTTAACCAAGATGTCGCTGGTTCGATCCCAGCACCGGGAGCTTTTTTCTGCTGCTGCGATTACGAATTCTTTCTTTATAGCAGCAAAGTAGATGACCGAAAAGTCGGTTGCCAGTTATTATATAATTATACCTTCTTTGCAGAGGATTCTGCAATACATTATGCCACTATAAAAATAATTATAGCTTCGTGAATTAATGTTTAAATACGCATTTTCCTTCCTCTATCTTCCACTTAAGCGTGAGACGTTGGTAGACTGCTAACTCTGCTAATAATATATTTCACAGACTTCTATTTTTATAAACTATTTTTATCTTTAGCCATAAATATTTACATAATTAAAAAGTAAAAAAATCTATGAACACTTATTTTAGATTTTTTGTAACTATTAACTTTTATTTAGTACTTATTTAAACGTCCAACAAGCAAAGCAAGTTATATTACAAAAAATATTACTTTTCTTTTGTAAGAGTGGAAAGGGAGTAGAGTAATAAACAAATTTTAGCCTCTTGCTTTCAACTTTAATAACTACCGTAAGTTTAAGGCAGAATACGTTATGAAGAAACGCTAGAATTTATACGTACTTACAAAGGATTTAATACTAAAATTTTCAATAGGTTGCCAAGTAAATTACAGTGATATTATAATTGAAATATATATATAAATATAGGAATAGTCAAAATCTGATTTTTGCCAACGCTTCTTAGTACAAACTTTTATGGCTGGCAGGGCAAGTTCCTAACCATGAATGTATTATAACCAAAACAGACTTTTCCTTTCTATTTTTTTATCAAAACCTTGGCTTGTTTGTTACCAAGCATATCTAGTTGCTAAACTACAATTATTCGTTTTAAGACTTGTTTAGAGTCTTCTTCCTTAATAATAGACTTTATTTAAACTAATACTAATAAAAATATAAATAGTGAGATTTTATGGGAAAAAGTAAAAATACTACATTGGGTCGCCTTCTTTAATTATATACTTTGTTATTATATATCGATTATTAATTCGAAAGAAAAGACTTTCTTTTTAAAAGTATTAGAACACTTCATACTCACATTTTTTAACGGATAGAAACACAAGAAAAAAACTAATAGAAATTGACCTTTATATCTATCTCGAATAAAGATTTATTTAGAAAATCTTGTTCAAAATAAATTTAGAAGTCTCTGCCCCTTTTTTATACTCCACTCCAATTAATAAAATATAATCTTTTCAAATTTTATAAGAATTCTAATTATATTGTGCAATAAAAAAAAAGGGATAATAAGTAAAATATACTTGGAAAACGTTGGGGAATAGTAAAGAGCAAATGTTCAGGTTTTACTATCCTACAAGGTTAATCCCATAAAAACAAAAAAAAAGGATAACTTTTTTAAAAACTAGTTTTTTACTTATAATAAATTTTATCAATTATATATAAAAATACAATGTTTAATTTTTTTTTTCCTACCCCCAGTTTTTATGAACACACAAGAAGAAATAAATATATACAAAAAATTAATTTTTATAGATGTACTTTCTAAAATACACAACCTTTAAATAATTTACTTATAATTTCTATATATTTATTTTTTTAAAATAATTTTTCTTAAAAAACACATTAAAAGAACAAACTATGTATAAAATAAAGTGTTTTTTTTAAAATTTATTTTTTTTTCTAATCCCCTCTTTTCTGGAAAATGCTGCCCATAGCTTTTCCCACTTTATAGCTGCCGATCTTGTCCCAGTCCAATAAGGTGCGCGTAGGGGGCATCGTGCGGCGAAGTGCCTTGAAAGTCGTATCGGACATCTGAAGGTAATTCTCGTTAACGCCTTGCTGGTACTCCAATTCGCTGGACTGAAGAAATTTCAAGAAATCTTCAGGAGTCGTGGCCTTTCCTGTAGATGTTTATATGTTAAATTAAAGAAAATATATAGAAAATTTAAAAACCACTTCGAGTTGAATCAAAAGATTTTTTTTTACTTTTTAAATTGGATAGAAATTTTCTAAAAAAAAAATGAAGTAGAAAAGATTTCGGAGACTTTTTTACTTACCCATGATAACTTTTGTTTTTTTTTTAAATTAATATTATGAAATATAAAATTATAAATAATAATAAAATTTTATATCAATTTATAATAATTATAAACTTTATTATATGAAAAAATTATTAGTATCGTAAAAAATCGAAAAAACAAATAAAAATTAAAAAATATTTAGTTTTAAAATATAGTAAAATTAAAAACTTTTCTATTATAATTAAAATTAAGAACACAATTTTATTATAAAGTTTGTAAATTTATTAAATTTAATATTTTATCAATTATATACTTTTATTATTATGATTGGAAGTGTGAAATAATATTTTTAAAATCACTAATTAAAAAAAAGTTAGTAGTTTTATAAAATTTCAAAGTAACTAAAGTTAATTACTTTTTATTATTATTAATGAAAACCAGAATAATCAAAACAAACTAAATTATATACAAATTTTTTATTACTTCCCTAAAGGAGCTTGGGGATTTGTAAATATTCAAAGTACAAAAAATTAATTCAAAAACGTGAAATTTTTAGAAAATTTTTTTAATCACTTAAAAATTTAATCAAAAGTTTGTATTTTTTTAATATTTCATTAAAAGTTAATACTTTATCATAATTGAACTGCGAAATCACATTAATTTTAAAATTAATTATTATCAAAATTAAATAAGTTTGTAGATTTTAAGAATTTTAAAAAATAAATAAAAATTAATACTTTTTATTACTGCAGCAATTTAATATATAAACAAAATTATATATATAGTTTTAGAATCGCTTAGAATTTAAATTAAATAAATTTGTAGATTCATAAATTTTTTTAAATAAATAAATTTAGATAACTTTTAGTATTATAAAGGTAAACTCAAATTTAAGAAATAAACGGCTTTATATATAAAATAAAAATTTTATATATTGAAATAAATAAAATAAACACTTTTATTATTAAAAGTAAAATCAGTTCAACAAAAAAAACGGAAACATATAAATTTTTAATATGAGGAATTAAATTAAATAAAAAAGAGTAGAGTAGTAGAAATTCAAATTATAATAAAAACTAAATTTTCTTATTACGTAAAACCAGATTCGATTTATTAACAAGAGTGCATATAAAATTTAAAAATCAAATAACATTAAATAAAAGTAGTTAGATTTATAATTCTTCAAATTATATGAAATTTAATACTTTTCTATAGAAAATGTGAAATCAGAATTATTATAGAAAGTTATATAGTTTTTTTAAATCACTCATTCTAAAATAATTATAATTTGTAAATTTATTACTTTTAAAATTATATAAATTTAGTATTTTTACTGTAGAACAAAAATCATAAAAAGAATGAAAATATATAACATTTAAATTACTTTTAATAAAATTTAAAAGTTTGAAGATTTTCTAAATTTTAACTTATAATTAAAATTAAAAAAATTGAAACTTTATCAAAAGTTAATGACTTACCAAATTGATAATAATGTTCAATAGTATAAAAAAAAATTTGTTATATAAATTAAAACTTGAGTAAATTTTTTAAAAAAAATTAGCAAAATAACATTTTTATTTCAAAGATTCACTAAAATACAAAGAATATCAATAAAAAATTTTACGTTATATAGGAAATTCCAAACAATAATAAGTTAAAAAAATTATAAAAATATTTTTTTAGGTAAATAAAATTCTAATATTCGAAAGTGGAAATATATCGAAAATAATGAAATTGGTGAATTTAAATTATTATTACAATAACAACAAAAATTTACTTCTCGCTTTAAAAAAAGTATATAAAATATCTAAAAGTTATAATATTTACAACAAGAACCTAAATTACTTTTTTAAAGAAAAAATGAAAAATGATTTAAAATTAATTTATTTTAATTTTTTAAAAATATTTAAAATTTATCTGCTTTTTTTAAACAAAATAAATTATAATAAACAAAAACAACTAAAAAAATAGTATTCACAAAATTATTTATAAATTAAAAAGATTATTAACGCTTTACTTTTTTAAAAATAAGAAAAATTGTCTATTTAGTAATTTTATTTTTTTTAAAAAAAAATAAAAGTTTATCAAATATTTTTAAAAAATAAAAATTATAATAAACATAAAATTTACGATAAACAAATAAAAAAGATTATTATTAACCAAATTATTTAAAAATTAAGAAAAAATATTTCTAATAATAAATAGCTATAGCTAATTTTTAACTCATTAAAAAGTTTTTTAATATAACTTCAATTAATCATAAGAATACTTTTGAAATAATAATAATTATAGTATTTCATAAATAATAAATTTCAGCTCATCCAAAAAAAATTTAATGTAAATTCAATCAAGCTTAAAAATAATATATGAAATAATATTTATAACAGTTAATGAATAATAATATTTGCAATTATATAAAATAATGATTATTATTAAAAATAATATTATAATAATAATAAACCTTCAACGTCCTTATGGGATAACAATTGAACGTTTCCATCTTCATAATAATGAACTTGAATTTTTAGCTTTCCAGAAACTTCACCAGATTTAAATTTCCATATGTATTCGCTAAGCCAACTTCCATTCCTAAGAAAAAAAAGTTAATAATTGTAATTCAAAAAGTATTAAAAAAACAAACCGAAAAAGAAATTAAATTAAAAAAAATCTGTTAAAAAATATTTTCAACTTTAATACAAAAGAATAGAATTATAATTTGAGAAGGGGGGAATGAATAAGATTAATTTTTTTAAAAAAAACTATCTTCAACGTTTTTTAACATGTAATAATAAATTATTAGCAGGACTAAATATAAATAATAAGTAATAACAAAAAAAATGAAAAGGTTGCTATAAGTTTTAATTTTATTCTAAGTTGATCTCTGTTAAAAATACAACACATACAACAATAAAAATGAATAAAGTTCAAAAAATAAAGTAATTACTAAAAAGATGAAATAAAATTTTCGTCACTTTTTCAAATCAAATAAAAAAAATGGAAAAAAATATTAAAAAAAATTTAATTTGATTTAATTTATTTATAAACCAGTAGTTGTTAGGGTTATACTTGTGGCTTTCAATGCAGACAATAATGCAATCAGCCTAAAGCGCAAAGCAAAATTTATAATAGTAGCACTCAAAATTATTATACATACTGAAGTGTAAACGGCTGATACACCAGTTGAATATATATCTTTAACGTGTTCATCTACAAGAGCTTCTACTTTTTTTCTGAGATCTTCATTATCTTGATCCAGTTTAATTGGGCGAAGATCAGAAGCTTTTTGGCTCAAGGGATCAAAAGTAAAGTATTGCGCACTCCGTGGGTCTAAATAGTCTTTACTTTCAAGCCAACCGTGTGATGTTATCAGAGTCTTTACATATATATTTGTGTGTGTAAAAAAATTATAAAAAAAACTTTATATTAACTTTTATAAAAAAACTTGATTTTGATTGGGAAGGTCCACGGGTGTAAACTGCTCTTGATGATACGTAAACAAACGAGGCAAAACGTAGTCTTTCAATAAGGTATCATCATTTAACAAAACTCTAACATCTGTAAAATGTTACATTAAACATAAATGTACGAAAATAAAATAACTATAATAGAGTTATAGGAAAAAAAAACACCATTAAGAACTTCCTTCAGTTCCCCGGGAGGAGCAGCTAAAATAAACTCAGAAGCATATTGCACTTTTTCGCTCTTGCTTATAGCCATCTCCGTTTAAACTCAAACAATCAAAAATTCTCAATTTTATGTACAGTAAGTTTTTCCCAGGAAAAGGAGGGAACGCAAGATAACTGTACTGCAAGCTTGCAAACACCTGCCGATAACTAGGAAAAATCACCACCAGCGGCCCTGCGTTGCTATACTAAGAAATCGCAATGCGTTAGATTGAGGTTGTGGGTTGGATAGAAAAGTTGCGTTAAACATTATAAAATAGTACTTACACAACTCATTAATAAAAACTTTTTAAGTTTTCCTTTAATTTTTTAAGTCCTTAAAAAATTTTTGACTGACTAAAGAGTTCTTAATTCGAACAAGTGCATATATAGAAAAAAAAAGAATTTTTTTTTCGCTTTCCTATATCCCAAATTGGCAGCAATTAATTACTTGACACAATTATAGATATTAATTGATACGATTTTTTATTTTTTACATTTGGTACAATATATAATTAGAAAGTCTACTTAAATTTTTAATTTATTTTCGAGGCTACTTGTCGCGTGGTCCGCTCTTGCTCACCTCTCCGAATGCAAGGTGAAGACAAACTACGTAGTTTTTTAACAGCTGGCACTTTTAAACAAACTTAACAATTTTTAAACTTTTAGCTTATTAACCGTTCTTAAGTGTTTTAAAAAAAGATGAACGGATGTAAAGAAGCCCCAGAAGCAAAAAAGGGTAAATGTATTTTATTTTTTATGACACCCCAGCACAAAATTAGACTCAATTCTTAGGTGAATGAAACGCGCTGTTGTAAAACGCCCTTGTTTTGGAGCATTATATATCGAGAGAGAGTAAAAAGAGCTTGGTAAAGAGCGGTTTTGAGACCTAAAGTTTTTAACTGTAGCTCCGATCAACTAAGTTCATAAGTATTGTGTACTACTAATGGTCTTAGGGAAATATGAAAAGTTGTTACTTAAATCTATAAACCCGAAAAAAAACTTTATAATAACAGCTTTTCAATGAAGTCGCGTTATTAATGCAGGCTGACTTAGTTTTTATTTACTTTTACTGGTTGTATTTTTGTACTTAAACTTTAGGTATCCTTAAGTTTTTTTTACAATTTTTTGCTTTTAAAGCGTTATTATTTAAAAAGTAAAAATTATATTAAAATATCAATCATAGATTCGTTTTTTATTAGGCATCCATATTATTTACGCAGTGAAAAAAACATATATTTAAAAAACCGGTTACTTTTTTTTTTGATGAATCAAAGATTTTTAAAAAGGATAAGGATTAAGAATTAATGTATTAACTGCCTCTAGCCATGAAAGTATATTAAAGTTATGTAAACAAAATAGTAAAACAGAGAGTGGAATAAGGGCTTGAATACTTGAGTTCTCTACCAAGATAGTGGCAAACATTTTCAAGTAATCGCATGTGATTTTATAGTTGATAATATAACTTTTTTAACCATAACCCCCCCCCCCCAAAGTATTAAAAGAAGCGACACCTTCACAACAAAAGCTCGTATATTTTGTTGCTTTCCACTCTTTGGCGTAGTAAATAAATAAATATACAAGAGAAGTAATGCGCACTAATCAAGCCACTAAAGAGAAGAAGGACTAAAGGAAAACATGTTTATCTATTAGGCTACACTTTACAAGATTTATATATGTCCGGTGTATCGGTACACATAAATTCAAGGCCGTGTGTCTGAATACCATCGAGGATATTCTCTTTCATGCCTTGATGGTTACGTATTTAACCTTGTGTGTACTTTTAGTACTTTTCCAATGCGCTGTGAGCATTCGTGGTTTAAGGCAACTGTAGAGTTAATGCGAGGGCTCGATACTTTAATAGATGATTTCCTGGCCCCTTTAGTCGGGAGAGCTCAACTGCAAAGTGCCGGGGAAATTTAGTAGATTAAAAGTCTTGATTGCTCAGATTTGAGTCCTCCCCTTAACGAACATTGCTTATTACTTAAATTGGAGGATTGCTAAAGTTTTTAAAAAAAAATTCTAGCCTAAATATTAAAATGAATATCTTTCTATACCTTAATTAACAGTTTCCTGCCCCTTTAAAAGGCGTTTTTACCCTTTGGCGTGGTGGGAGATCCAACGTTGGTAAGTGCGCATAATTTAGTAGAGCTTAATTATAAAATTATGTTTTGGGTTGCTTAACAAATATTTTTTTATCGGGTGGTTGCGCGGTGGCCTGCTTTTTGCGTTTAGGTGCGCCTCTAGGTTAGTGAAGTTAGATTAATATCTTTTATATTGTACTTTCCTTAGATCAAGAAGGAGACTTGTTTAATAGTTAGAGAATAAGCAAACTAAGCTTGCGCTCACCAGGAAGCGGGAAGGAAAAAAAGTTTTGTTTATTAAAATAAATATAGCTTTATCTACGTACGAAAGTAAACAACAATAAGCAAGAGCGCGGGGTGAAATATTCTTAGCATATTGTCATTGAAATAATAACTTCCACGCTGAGGATCTTTTTCTTTGCAACAAATATATTATTTAGTTTCTTTACTAAATAAATTTTATTACACCTCATTCAATAAACTAAAAAGTATTAGTGCGTAAACACTGCACATAGAAAATTATTAGGCTAAAACGTTACACCATTTTGGTAGTAATTGTTATATGATAGTCATGACCTTATAGATGTGGACTTTTAACGTGTAAGGGACCGTCTACTTACTGTGTAATATTATTTATATATACTATATATAAATTTATTTACTTATATCATTAACTACCAATAGTGCCACCTAAGGAATGATAGACTAATTTTTTTAACTGTGTTATAAATTGGGAATTATAGCAAATATTATTCCTATCCCTATAAGAGGAATATGGAACGAGTAAATGAGTTGAGTAGAGTAGTAAATGAAATGGGAAGAGAACACCAATTCAAGAGGAAGAATATATAAACTTTGAGTGACTACAACCAATTTCTGCTGTATTTCGTAAAGTTAAGATATCGGTAAGAAGTCAAGGAACTTATGAAGGAAGCGAACCATTGATATGACGGGAAAAATGCTAAAAAACAGATGGAAAGTTAGAGCAATAATAAAAAATTTATAAATTTATTATATTAACCCCTTATAGGTTACTGGTTACTATGTTTACCACTTGTCGCATAGGTTAATTTGCATAAGAAGGTCTATAGAAATTGACCCCCAGCGTCAGGTCCGGCCTAAGTAAAAATATCCGGTAAACTTGAGTACCATGATCCAACGGATTAGGTAGCAACCAACAAAACATAAAAAAGTGGTAAATCAAGTTACCAGTGAACATTAGATTAAGCATGTGTTGATGCGCGATCTTTTTATTGGTGAAAAAAGGGATCATTCTGGATGTAGGAAGTTTTGTTATTAGTTAGATAGGTAAGTAAACATTAGTTTTACTGTTTTATTTTAAATATTAATTGGGATTTATAGAATCATGTTTTGAAAACAAATTGGGCTTTAAGCTAGAGTTTCAACATAGAAAGTAAATTCTCAGAAAAAATATCCCCGAGGTTTTGCCCGTTAATGGGTTAAATTAACTAAAAAACAGAAAAAGGTGATTGGGGCCATTACTAATATTGACTTTAACAGGTTGAATATGTAAACCATCATACCGGGATCGAGAGTTGTCGTCCGTAACTCAGCGGTTAAGAGCATTGACACGCATACTCAATGTAGTGGATTCGATTTTCACCGACGCGAAGCTCTTTTTTGGTCTTTTATGGTCACGTATATAACCTCGCCCTTGTATGCCCTAATACAATGCACGATGCACCAATGCGGGTACGGAAATGGACCTTTGCATATTAAAAAAACCCTGTTGAAATAATACCTGACGTATAAACATAAATGTATTCGTAGACAATTGATTAGTGGACAGCAAAAATGAAAGGGAGCATTATAATACTTAGTAGCCCTTGTGCACCAATACGAGAAATATAATGTTAAACTTAGGTTAAAAAAAATTACCTCTTAAAGAATGCGATTAAGTGACTTAAAAAAAGACTTCCAAAGGGAGGAGTATTAATGTGAAAGGAACAGTTAGAAGCAAAATGAACAAGTGAAGAAAACCGATAAGGACAATTTATTAAATTATTGGTACATTACAAATGGGGCAATACTAGTGGAACCTTTACCCTGTTTGCAAAATATAGTAAAGGTTAAAAATAGGGCAAGAGCAGTAATTCTCCTTAGTTAGAATTGTAAAGATTTGTGTTTGTAAGCTTTCACTCATTCTTTAAATGAACCCACGTGAAGTCGGGATAGGAGGTGCTCTTTTTTCACGGCATGAAATTCAAAATAAATATTCTAAAATTTTCTTGTTTGTAAAGGCAGAAGAAGTTGTGTTTTTGCTCGTGCTTTATTAATTAAAAGTTCACTACTATTTGTTTAAATGTTTGTTATTAGTCATTCAGCAGCTTGTTAAGAATCACTCTTCGCGAAGGTCCTTTCAATATCGATAATAAAAAGAGGAAGGCCATCATTACGAGCTGTTTGATAGATCTCGATGCGGGTTGGTAGCGACAAACCTTTACTGTCTCAGAGTATCTTGAAGCCCTATATGGTTATGGCAATTATACAAAAGTAAGCCACTAAATCACATTATCTGAAAAAATAGAATAGCTTTTTACTTTTGCCCTACTGACTCCTTTTAAATATATACGAGGTCAAAGGGATTCTTCAGTTTTCCTTTCAACTGCAATACTTCTAATTTTAGCGAAGTACATTTAGCTTGCTCTTGGGATATTGAAAAGTTATTTCTGTCTCTACTAGAACAATTTAATAACTCCTCATGGGTTTTAGTGTTCCTATTACTATCTATAACTTTGTTACTACTATACCTGAAAGATATATTACTATTTTTTTTTTTCTTTATTGGAACATAGCGTACTTTTTACTAATAGTTTTGCTATTATCAGTGAAAGTTTGCATTTTTGTTTAAAATTAGGCAAATTTTATTTTCTGTAGATTTTTTTTAAGCTAACTGTTCTCCTTTTTCTTAGTTGGTATAAAATTCTCTTATTTGCTAATAACTTACGTAAATCCTCCGAAACCTCTGTCTTTAAAATAAAACAAAAACTAATATTGCGAGGAAGATGGGAAAATAGAGCGTTATTTGTTAGGTTATTTAATCCTTTACCGACCGGTATCTAAATCTTTAAGCCCTTTAAAATTAATTATAAACAAATGTATATATATATATATATAGATGTATAGATGTGATTAAAACAAAAAAGCACTAAAAAAATTAACACGACTGCCAGTTTATTTTTCGTGAACCTTCATTATATACTAACAACTGAGCAATAAAATAGTCAATAATAAACGTAAAATTGTCTAAAAATGGTAATATGCGTTTAAACTTATGAACTGGAATCTTTTCCTTAATGCTATTATATATATATGTTATCAATAGTACTAAAATAAAATAAGCTAAAATTATAAATAAGTAAGTAAAGATTATTATGCGAACAAGATAATAATTTTAGTAAATATAATAAAATATTAAATCACCCGAGTCTCTTCATTAAATCTTTATATCGCAGTAAATAGTAAAAACTTGGGGTTTTAATGGCTATCACTTATTGGTTTAGAATTTTATTGCCTTATTTCAATTGGAGATTAGGGCGTAAATTCGATCAAGTTTTAAAATCCTGTTTTAAAAATATTTTTTTTGTGAGTGTTTGCATCTCTGTTGAATAGTTGCCCGGACTAACAGATATTTCTAAAGATTCTAATGGTTTTTTTTGATAAGTTTCTTATTATTTTGTATCCTCTTTAGAGAAAAAAAATTAGGGACTATCCTTTCCTACAATTTTTTCCAGCCTTTAGCTCTGTCCCTTATTCTGAAAATATAATAATATGAGCATCATTGGGCAGTGACAGGGTGCGCCCTTTCAGTGCTCGTTCATTAGTAAGCTCATGTACCACAAACAAATATTGTGCTCGAATAGCAGTTTTCAAAAGAAACATGTCTAGTTTGAAAATATCTTCATTTTTATATATTATTTTTTAGCCGGAAAAGGGAGTCTGAAGAGGAGACCAATAAACATAAACAGTTAAGAATATTAGGATTAGTCTCATAGCCAAAAGTGCAGTAGAGGGTTATTAGACCAAGATTTTGTGAATACTGTTATAGCGATTGAACTATATTATTTAAACAGTTTAAAAGTTATAAATAAAGAAATGATAACCCCTTTTTAGGTACTCGGGTGGGTTTGTGCAGTTTGCTTGTGGAAGTTGTCTACGCAATACTTATCTAAGAGATAGCATACATCAAGTAATGTTCATGACTTAAAAGAGTTACAGATTAAGCAGATATTACAAATTTAAGTCTAATAAAAATGAAAGCAACTTTATTAAAACAAACGTTTATGCAAAAAATTTAATCAAACACAGCTAACTGTTAATTTACATGTTTTGGGCTATTTTATGTTAAATATTATTTTAATACAAGTGTGAGCTAGCTCGATTTTTTCAGTTCAGGTGTACCTCATCTTTATTTTTTTTTAAAAACTTTGGGTAGTCACTATTTATTTTTTTAATATAAGGATAGGGTGAGATAGTATTTAAGTGCACTTACCTTCTGGTTCTTGTTCTAGCAAAATGGGGTGAAAGATAGCCTAAAAAACTTTTCTTATAGCTGTCCCTATTTGGTTTGCTTGAAGTTAAATATTTGGGATGACAATCAGCAAGGTAACGCAATCTTTAGTTTTTCCAAATTTACTGACTGAAGCTTCTTAACGATAGTAAAACTTATATAGCTTCAAGCACTTACTATTTAATTTGTATTTATTTTTAAAAAATATTTTTCACTTTCACTACCGAGTATGTCTGTAAATTTTATGCAAAAAAATCGATAAAGTCTATAAAAAAAGAACTTTACTGAATGAGGACTTATTCTTCTTAGTTTACTTATTAAAACTCTGAAACCTTAACAAGCTCAATCTGGTAGCGGGTTTGCAAACAAAGCTTAGTGAGGAGCACTCTTACTCTTTTTAAAACGAGAATATCGGGAATAGAGTTTCATTATTCCCTTTTTTAAAAAAAAAACTCTACTTATTAGTCATGGAGATAAAATGAATCTTGCTTTTGAAATTTGTTTAGCAATAATATGAATTGATCATAATTCTACTATACGTACGATCAGTAACATGTTACAACTAAGTGTTTTTGCCAAGTTTTAAAACCATGCACCTTTTCTTACTAAATGCGTTGCTTATATAAAAGCTAAAGGATGGATGTATTTTATTCTTCAGCAGCTTAAATTTTTTTTATAAATTGAAGGCTTAAAGTGTATATAAATACAGCAACTTTTACTTATTGAAGTAGGTTGCACAGTGGTATTGAACAAAACTTATCAATTCAAGTCTAATTAAAATGTTGTTTTAAAAAAGTTTTAAATCTGCAGAGTTAAAGCTATGGAAGGGTAGTTAATACGGGATAATACATATTCGTTCAAAGTATGAAATAAATTTTCATTATTTTATTTAGTGTAGTGCTATTGCTAACATTAAAAGAAGTGGTTGTTTACTTTTTTCCCTTTTTTTTAAGTGGGTTTTCTATTATTCTTATTTCAAATTTTTTAAATGTATTTCTTTTTTTTATTAAAACTTTAAACTCTTAAGGGGATAATATAACTACTGACGTTTAAAGTATTTGTATTATTGTAACCATGAAGTCCGAGTCTTCTTTTCCAATAGTTTTCTTATAATTTTTTTTCTCGCGTGGAAAACTCAAGAGAAATTTTTAGATAAACTCGCGCCCTCGCTTAATTGTTTGTTGATTTAAATATATTGTTTAAAACTATTATATTCTTATTTTGTAATTCATTTCACTTAAACCACAATAAGAAATACTTTTATTAAGTTTAATTTATTAACCTTTTTTTATTTTGAAAATTTGGATAATAGAAGTTGACTGCTCTTCCCAGCAGCGACTTAGCTTAAAGTTTTTTTTTTTGGAATTGAACCACATTTTCCCTTTTCATGTATTATAATTTAAGAGATAAAAGTGTTATAAATGTACCACCTTCGCTTTTTTTGATTCTAATTTTTTAGAAAAATTAAATTGTCTTCATTTTTTTAAAGCATTCAATTAATTTTAAAATGGAAAAATTTATGTTTTAGAAACGTTTTATATTTTCTTATAAACTTAATAGTTTTTTTTAGTTAAATAATACTTAAAGGTGTCAAAGTGCTAACAATATATCACATATTCTTTTTTTTTTTAATTTTTCTAAATATATATTTTTTAAGAGATAAAAGCCTGGAAATGAATTACTTATGTAATTCATTAACATAAAATAATTATTTAACTTTTAAGAGTTCAAAGTTTTAGAAATGTACTACATTCCCTTTTTATATATTTTATTTTTTTTAATAAATAACATTTAATAATTGAAAAAGTTAAAAATGAACCACTTACTTTCTCAAATTTTTATAATTAAATTATTATTGAAAGAGAAGTTTTTATTTTATTATTCATTAATCTATTTACTTCTATTTAAATCTTTTTTATAAATTTTTTTAAATTTAGTAGCCTTTTAATACAATTTTTTAAGCTTAGATTGGCAACGTTTAACGAATTTATTGATAAAAATATTTTAATAATATTTTTTGTTAAAAGTATATATAAATGATAACCATATTATTTATTACTACCTCTATCACAGTAATGTTTTAGTACTTCAAATGAATAAAATTTTTAAATCCAAACCAAAATCACCCCAAGAAATTGTGAGATTAATTAAAGAGGCTCTAATAAATCTTGAAAAAGGAGATAGCGTCAAAGCAAAAGAAAAGGTAATTATTTAATACTAGTAATTTTAATGCTCTTTTTTAAATTTTTATTTATTATTAAAATATATTTATGCTAAGTTTATATTCATTTTAAAAATAATTATAAATATAAAAAGGCTTCTGAAGAGGCTTCTAAATACTTGGCTGCTTTGAAATCTACTTTATGTGGCGATAGTAAATTATTTTTTGACGAGATTATTTTTTCCGAGCAAATATTGTGTTTATTATAAAAGATGAAACTAAGCCAAACGCTATAGCAATTACGCAAGCTGCCAACGAAGTTTATTCTTCCAATTTACTAACAATATTAGTAAGAAACTTAAAAAACATTGAATTTGAGGTATATTTTTTTAATTAATTTATTCAAAAATTAATCACCATAAAAATTAATTTTGCTTTATTTAAAAAAAAGTTAAGTTTTTGCACGTTAAAATTTTTTTTAAAAGATTTAATTACTACTTTTTTAATAAAAAAGTTATGTGATAGTTATGAATATAAATTTACACTCTTTATATTTTTTAAGCTAGCAAAATTATATTTTTAGAATTCTTAATAATTAAATTTTTGCTAATAGTTAAATTTTTATTTTGTATTAACATAATTTTTGTTATTTTTAGAAATAAATTTTTTTTAGTTCTAAATTTAATTTAAATAGATATTTTATTTTAAATTTTGTTTTTAGAGAATAAATTTTCGTTATAATTTTATATATTTTTTATAAATATTAAGTATTGATTTTTTATAGAATAAATTTATTTTTCATAATTTTAATATATATTTTAAAATTTTAAATATTTATTTTATACAGAATAAATGTGTTTGTTATAATTTTAATATGAATAATTTTTTTTACATAATAAATTTTATGAATTTAATTTAAAATTTTTTTTTTAAATTTTTAAATTTTAATAATTTACAGAATTAATTTTTTAGTTATAATTATAATTTAAATATTTATTTCTCGAACATTTTTCATTTTTTCAGCTGTTTTAATTATATGTATAATTTGTAATACTTTTATAGATTTCAAATGAATTTTTATAGTAAAAAAAAATCTTATTTTTATTTAAATCTTTGTAATAGAATTAATTTTTATTTTCTGTATAAATTAAATTCTTTTTTTTTGATCAAATTTAAAAGTTTATATATTTCTTAAAGTTATATAGTTTATAATTAAATTAAAAAGTTTAGAATTATTATTTTTTTATGTAAAACAATAATTTTTTTAATTTACTAAAATCGAGATGCTCTTTTTTGGTAATATTTATTATATATTAACTTTTTTATTATTATAAACTTTAAGAAAAACTGTTTATAGTATTTTTTTTAAGAAGTATTTCATCTTTAATTTAAACTTTTTTTTAAAAGTTTAAAACCTTATAAAATTAAATTATTTTCCTATTCAAATTTAATTTTTTTTTTGCATAATATAAAAGTTTAAAACATTATAAATTTAACTCTACCTTTTCTTTTCTGTACAAAAATTTAATTCTTTTTGTCTAATGATTCCGAATTTATAAAATTTTTATAAACTATTATTAATTTTTTTTGAAAGGCACGAAAAGACGCTGTACAAATTTTTAATAATTTGCTACGAAGGCACAGTGAAGTTCGGCAGCCGACAGTGGAGCACATTCTTGCTAACGAGCAGTTGCTTTTCCTACTAATTCAGGGGCACGTTTTATTATTATTAATTTTTTAAAATTTAATTTAATTTAATATAAAACAAATTTTATTTGTTTATTTTTATAAATTAAAATAAATAAATCTTTATAAATAATTTTTTATAAAAAAAATTTATGATTTCAAAATTTTTTTTAAAAGTAAAGATATAAATAAGAGATACTAGCATTAAACATAAAAATAAGTAAGAGAAGACTATAATAGGAAGTAATGATATTAATAAAATATAAATCTATGAGATGATCGTTACAAAAATGAATATATATAAGATTGTAAGACAATAATAAAAATAATAAGTAAAAATAATAATGAACAAGTAAATAATTATAATTAATATATAAATAAATACTTTTTTTTCTTTTACATTTTTTATGTACTCACAAATATAATTTATTTTATTTATTATTGTTAAACTATTTATATATAAATTTTTTTCTGTAAAATTATTATATAAATTCCATTACTTATCGTTACTTAAAAAAATTAGTATTCATATTTGAAAAATAAATTTTAATCATATCTTTAATATAAAAACATTTTGTTTTTACTTGAAACAAATTTTTATTTAGAAAACATTTTTTAAAATAATTTATGAACTTCTTATATAATAAAAAAATTGTAATTTTATTTCAAAAATTATTATAAACGTTATAAATTTAATTTTACTTTAAAGTAAAAAAAAAGATAACAAAAGTAACAATTAAAAATAGTTAAAAAGTTGTATATAGTTTATGAAATTTAATAACAAATTATATAATTAATATTTTTTTATTAAATACTAATTTTAATATTTACTCTAAAAAATTATGAATATTATTTATAAAGTTTTTTTTTAATATTTTTTTTTATTAAAGTTTGAATATAAGTATATATATTATTTTTAGATAAAAAGTTATTATTAATAAAAATTTATGTCAAAAAAATATTTTTATATTTTTTTTAACTAAAATATAATATTTATTAATTTATATTTTAACTAAAAAAAATTAAAAAATTCTTATATATTTTTTTATTATTATTAATATTTATTAATATTCAATAAAGTTTTGAATAAAATTAATTATTTTTTTTATATGCGTTACTATAAATATGATTTGTTTATTTCCTTTTAACTAAAAAGTTATTAATAAAAGGTATCTTATTTTTTTTAACTAAAACGTAATATTTATTATTATTTGTAAAGTTTTGAATAAAAAAAATAAACTTTTGTGAGTGAAAATATATATAAAAAAAATTTACAAGAACTTATTAATACTTACAAATAAAGTATTTATTTTTTTTTAAACCAATAGAATTGATAAAAAAAGTTTCATTATTATTTTAAGGTTAGAGTATTTTTATATTTTTTATAGTAAAAAAAAAGTAGTATTGACTTTATTTTATTATTAAGTTTCTTTTTTTTATTATATTAATATAAAAATATATAATAAAATTTTATTAATAATAAAATATACAAAATATTTTTTATTTTTAAGATTCGTATGATTATTATTTACTATAAAAGTTATGACAATTTTCATATTATTTTGTTCTTTTTCAATAAAATTGTTTTTTTTACTTAAAGGTTTTATTAATAACAGGATTGTATTAATAATTTTTTTTATTTTTTTAATAAAAAAAAGTCTGACTTATTATCAATTCAATAAAAAGTTATGCATAACATTTACTATTTTCTTTTTATTAGTAATAAAGTTGTAATAGAATTTTTTTTTAATTTTTAAATAAAATTTTTATACTAACAAAACTTATTATTAATAATTAAATTATAGTGGTGATATTTTTATTACTAATTTTTTATTAAAAATTTATTATTTTGAATAAAATTATAATAGTAATGTTGTCATTATTTTTTACCCATATTTAATAAAAAAAAAATTTTAATAAATATTTATGTCCATAGTAAACACAATAGTAGTTTATTATTATTTAACTAAAATTTAGTACTCATAATTAATAATGATAATAATAATAAAGTTATAAAAGTAATTATTTTTTAAATTTTTATTAAAAATTATTAATAATAATCAAATTTTAATTGTAATATTTTTTTTCTATAAAATTTAATAATATTTACTAATATTATTTTTATTAAAAAAAAGTTACGAATCTACTGAAGTTGCTGGTAATTGTGGGCTTATTCTACGTGAATGTATTCGCTATGAACCGCTAGCAAAAATAATATTAAACTCTGACAAGTTTTTTGCAGTAAAACTTCTTTATTTATTATTATTTTTTGAAAGTTTTTATAAATGTTTTTTATTTATTACTTACTTTCTACTATTATTATTTATTAGTTTTTTACTCTCATTTATTTAATTTTTTGAAAAGTTTATGTAAAAATTTATTATTTATTTCTCTCTATATATATTTATTTATAATTTTTACTTATTATTATTATTATAAATATTATAATTTATTAGTTTTTTACTGTAAAACTTTTTTAATTACTAATATACCTCAAAAATATATATTAGAAAATATTTTTATATTTACCCTTTAAATATATATATATATTCTTTACTTTTACTAATTATTATTATTATTACAATTTATTAGTTTTTTGCTGAAAAACTTTTTAATTATATTTTAAAAAGTTATTGCAAATATTTATATATGTTTATTTATTATTTACTTATAATTATTATTCTAATATTTATTATATTTATTAATTATTTGTTGAAAACTTTTTATTTCCAATTATTTTTAATAAAGTTTTATTATATATATATTTTTTTAATTGTTCATTACTATAGTTATTATCATTTACTATATATTATTACGTTCATTAGTTTTTTGATTACGTTGAGAATCCAACTTTTGATGTTGCTTCTGACGCATTTGCCACTTTTGAAACTCTTTTGCTGAAGCATAAAGAACTTACTTCAAGCTTTTTACACGAAAAATACGATAAAGTTATTCTTATTTACTATTTATTATTATTAAAAATAATTAATATTTTATTTTTATAAAGTTTCTACGAAAATATAAAATTTGTTATAAAGAAACTATTTTTTTGTAAAAAAAAAGTCTTACAACTATAAAGAAATTGAAATGTATTAATAAAAAAGTTTGTAGACAAGAAAAGTTTATAAAATTCTTAAGAAAAAATATTTTAGAAAAAAAAATTGCAGAAATTTAGGATAATTAAAAAAATTTTATTATATTTTTATAATAATAAAAATTATTTTTATGTGATTATTATATTAATACTTTGCAAAATTTTTACAAAAAAAAATTATTTTCAAAATAAAGTAAAAACTTGAGACGAAAAATTGAATTTTTTTTAAAAAAAAATATTATATTTTCAATTTTTTTTACTTTTTTTTTTTAAATAAAAATTGATTATTATATAATTTTTAGATTAACAATTTGCGAAAGTATATACAAAAAAAATTATTTAGAATAGAAAACAAAAAGTAAACACGTGGAAAACAATTGCAGAATTTTATATAAAAATACTTTTATTATTTTTATATATATATTTTTTATTTTTTTATTTATAGTAATTACTTATTATATGCTTTTTATATTAACAATTTGCAAAATTATTTAAAAAAAGTAAAAACTTGAGAAAAAATAAAAATAGTAGAACAAACTTTTTATTTTAAGTAATTTTTAATTTATAAAAATTTTATTCGATATATAATCTTTATATTAACCATTTGCAAAATTAATAAATTATATTTTTATATTATTATTTATTATATATTTACGTTAGAATATTATTTTTGTTAGTTTTATACAATAATAAGTTATTATTATAATTTTATATTCTATTAAAATTGTTTCCTTTAAATTATTTTTATTTATTCACTTTATAATAATAATAGGAAATTTATAATCAGAAATAATATTTAATTAATAACGTCTTATTGGTTAACTTTTATCTTTGTTGACTAGTTAGTACTATTAAAGGAACCAATCAAATATTAGATTTATAAGGGTAATTTATTGATAGAGTTCAGAATAGTAGTAATAATAATACTTATTATGAAGGGGAAAAAAACAACTCGTATATCGACTTTTTTATTGGAAAAAATCTTTATAAAACCAATCAGATACTAATTTATAATATGATAATAATAATACATGAATTTAACGTTTATTTAATTTTTTATGCCAAATTATATATATAACCAATCATATACTAATTTATTATATAGTAATAATAATATCATGTTTATATTATTTTTTATTATATATATTTTACTTATTATTATTATATTATATTATTGAGTTGTTAAATACGTTTTAGTTTGAATACTATTCTACCAATCATCTTATGTATTGATAATTTATAATTATTTGTAGCCAATGAGATACTATTTAGTATGCAGTATTTTTTTTAAATGTTCTACTGATAAGTTTTCTATTTAATATATTAATAAGAGTAAACTTTTTTTAATACCATATTTATTATAATTTTTATTGTAGTTTTTACTATTATAATACATATATATGATAATATTTTCTTTATTATTATTATATATAATTTTTTAAATGAATATAAAAGTTAAACTTATATATATAAATGTTTATGTTTTCATAAGATAAGGCAAAAAAACTTTTATATTTATAAAATAAGTTTTTAAATATATTTAATACTTTTTTTTATTGTAAAGTTTGTATTTTTTTTAGTTAAGCAAAAATTGTTATAGAAAGATTATAATAAAAGTGAGAGAAATAACTTTTTATATAAGTAAGAACATTTATATTATATTACTTTTTATAAGAGTTTTAAAAATATATAGTATAATTATTTAATAACAGAAGTATTTATAACAAATATAATAGTTTTACTATTTCCGTTTTTTTGTAATATTAACGTTAAAAAAAAGTATATTTTTTTAAAATTTTATATGAGTTATGTAAATAACAATTTAATAATATCAAGATAATAATAAATAAATATTACAAGAATATAAATAACTAAATATTTCAGTAATAATAAAAGTCCTACGACAAAAAAATTATGAATGCTAATAATATAAAAATAGTGAAAAAGTTTTGTTTGTAAATTTTAGTATAATATTTATTATTTATTTGTATACTTTTTGATAAAGTTATTTATATATTGATATAAAAAAGAAAAATTTTATTGTATACATTTTACTTTATTGTAAAAAGTTTTTAAATGCATGAATAAAGTAATATTAAATCTAGAAAACTTTCTATATTCTATTTTTTTAAAATAATTTTTTGTCTACTTTTCAATTTATTATTATATTTTCATATTTTGTATATAAATCCATGATTTTACATCAACATCATGAAAGTACTTGAAATTTTATCTACAAATACAAAGAAAGTTACCAGAAATATTTATTACTATTTTTATTATTATACCTTTATTAATATTTTTTTATTTTATTTTCATTAAAAAAATTAAGTTTTTTAAATTGTACGAGCGATTGATGGATTCACAAAATTATGTGCTCTGCCGCCAATCCCTGCGAGTTTTATCTGAATTACTATTGGACAGAACCCACATGGGTACACATGATTACCCTTTTTACGTTATTATTATGGATCATAACGCACGTGGAGTCATGTGATTTACGAGAGCGCCTGGTTACTTTTAACTGGTTAGCAAAGACCACGTGTTAACTACTTCATTGGTCCACTACGCACGTGGGGTCTCGTAATTTATGAAAGCATTTAATAACTTCTTCATTGGATAGCAAAGTTCATGTGTCGTTTCCACACGTGCGCATTTCCTTTAAGTTTCTCTTATCACTATTTTTATAGCAGTTTCTTTGGCTTATACAAAAAATGTTTATTTTTAATATTTTTGACGTTTTGTATACTTTATATTACTAATACTAAAAGTTTTTCTTTATTAAATCTTTTATTACTTTTATTATTACAATTTGTTATAAAATAATGTTTTTCTTTATGTATAGTTTCACTATTTTTATCTATTTTTCTTCATCATTATTATTTTCCTTTCAACTTTATTCATTACTATGCTATTATTATTACTATCATTTTACTTATGACTAATTTTATTATTATTATTATTAAAATTTTTCTTGTTTCTATTAATTATTATTTCTATTAAAGTTTTTTCTTTGCTTACTCTTATATTTAATAGGTTTCTTATGTATTATTATTACTTTTATCAATATTTATTATTATTAAAGTTTTGCATAAAACTTTTTTAATTTATTATAGAAACATTGTTATAGTTCGCTTATTACTATATATTTTTTTTTAGTATTTCTTATTATTATTAAACTTTTGCTTATTATTATATATATTAATTTTATTATCATTTTTACTTATTATTATAACTAAAAATATTATTTTATTTATTATAAACTTTGCCTTATTTTTAGTAAATTTATAGATTAATATACTATTTTTTATTATGGTTTTACTTATTGATAATTGTATTTATTTACTTTCAAATAATATTTTTTTTATTATTTAACGATTATTATTAATTCTTATTGTTTATTTCTTTGTATTATTATATTTATTATAATATTCTATTATTTTGCTAATTATATATATTTACTTTTTTCTTATGCATAGATTATTACTATTTCTCATGTTGCTATAATATTGCTAATATCATTAAAAATATAAATCTATTTATTTTTTCTATTTATAATATATTATAATTATTATATATGTATAACTCCTCTTAATAATCTTATATTTATCAATAATATTATTATTTTGCTAATTATTTATTATTATTTATATATTATTAATACTTCGCTTAATATATATTTACTAATTATCATTATTTATATTATTATTTGTTATTATTTACTGAATTGTTATAACTTTTCATAGTATTTAATAAGTTATTTATTATTATTTTTTTTATTAATATTGATATTTAACATATTTATTTTTATTATTACTATTATTTATACTAATTACTTTGCTCATCATATATTGTTATTATTTATCGTTATTTATCATTATTATATCATTTCTATTATTATTTTATTATTTATTATTATACATAATTATTATTATTAATATTATTACTATTATTTACCAATATTATAATTTTTATATTTATTATTTTATTATTTATTATTACTATTATTTACTTTATTATTAAATATTACAATCTTATTTTTATTAATATTATTATTGAGGATTTCATATATTATTATTTGTTATATTTATTATTAACAATTATTATTCTATTAATATTTATTGTTATTAATTATTCTTATATTTCTTATTACTATTAATTATTATTTATTATAATTATATTTATTAATATCGATATTTTTATTATTATTAAAATAATTGTTATTGACATTTTTTTATTAATATTATTTAATATCATTTATTATTGTTGATATTTCTTCATATTAATTCTATTATTTATTATTTATTATTATTTCAGATAATTTACTTAAATATATTGATGATGCCGAAAACTTGAAGCGCATTATGAATCTTCTTCGCAACAAAAGTCGGAATATCCAGTTTGAAGCGTTTCACCTTTTCAAAGTTTTTGTGGCCAATCCGAATAAGTCTTCCCAAATCCGGAATATTCTCTTGAAAAATAAAGAAAAACTTGTTGAGTTTCTGCAAAAGTTTCAAAATGATCGAACAGGTTTACTTTTTATTATTGATTCCTTTTTTATTTTTTGTTATTTTACTATTTATATCTTAATTATTAATAAAATGATGATTACTATTATATATTTTATTATTTATTATTAGCTATTATTATATATTATTTATTATTATCATTAATATAAAAGTAATTATTTTTGTTTATAGTTTTATATTTACATATTTTTGTTATATTTTTAGTTATTTATTTCTATTATAAAAGTTATTATTATTGCAAATATACATATTTTTATATGATTTTCTTTATTATTAAGAACTATTTTTATTATTTTATTAGCTATTACTCTATAATATTGTTATATCCTTTTTCATTTCTTTGTTTATTATAATTATAGAAATAATTATTACTATATATATTCTATTTATTTATTTATAATAACTGCCAAAGTACTTTTTATTATTAATAATTGTAATATTGTTATTATAAATATGATTATTATTATATATTTTATTTTTAATTAATTATTATTATTATAAAAGTACATTTATTCTTGATTGTAATATTTTTATTTATTTTTATTATAAAAGTAATTATTACTGTGATACATTTTATTATCTTTTTATTTAATATTATTATAAAAGTAACTATTATTATTATTAATTGTATTATTTATTTATTTATTATTATTAAAGAGATAGTTCTTATCATATTTTATTATTCATTTATTATTATTGTTATAAAAGTACTTTTCATCACTATTGAATGTATTATTTATTTTATTATTATTAATTGTATTATTTATTTATTATGATAAAAATTATTATTATTTATTTATTTACACAAAAGTGATTATTACTATTATTATAAACTTAATATATTTTAATTCTAGCAAAAAATAATCCAGAAAGTTTCTGATGATATAAAAAAATTAGAAAAAACTTAAATAATAATTATTTTTTATGTAAAAAATAATTATAATTTATATTTTTTTTAATTTATAATAAAAACTTAAACAAAAAAAAAACTTTAAGTTAAAAAGTAAAAAAGAAAAAGTATTAATCATAGAAATTAAGAAAAATGATATTTACTTATATATATTTTTTATGTAAAAGTAATTTATAATAATGCAGTAGAAAAAAGTGTAAAAATATATATTTTTATAAGAAATACTTTTTCTTTTTATATATTATTTTATAATAAAAAAATTAAATAATAAGTATTTTAATAAAAAGTAACGACAAGTTTTATTAATTATTATTATACGAAATACATTTCTTTAAATATTTTTTGATTATAATAAAAATATAATAAAAAGCATATTAAAATAGATATTAGTAGTAAGTAAAACAAAAGGTAGAAATAATTATTATATTTATATATATACTTATAACATTAAGAAATAGAAAGTAAAAAATAAAAGAAGTATTAATAATTAAAAGAAATGATTTATTTATATTTTCTTGACTTGTGTAACTTTTATAGGAATAAATAATAAAAAGTAAAATAAAACCAAAAAAAATTCTAAAAATAAAAAGTTCATTTTTTTTCTAACGTGGTTGGTCACGTGGTTTTTGGTACTTCATGACATCACTATGATTGGGGGGTTTTCTGTATTAAAAAAAATATGAAGTGAAGATATTTTTGCTTTCATTTTTGTTTACAGTTTTTTCATAAGCAAAATATCTAAAATATTTTTCTTCATAATTTTTTCCAAAACTTTTGTATGAACATTAAAAATATTTTTATTTAATTAATTTTTACCATTTTTTTATGAATGTTATTAATGAATTCTTTTTTTGTTTGAAACTTTTTAAAATATTTTGATTTTAGCTTTTTTTTTTTTCGTTTTCCTTATGAAAATAACTAAAAATTAGTAATTTATTGTTTTTTATATCAAATTATCACTTTTTATTATATTTTTCTTATAATATCATTATTTTATATATTTGAGTTTTTTCTTTAAGTTATTTTTATAATAATTTCATTATTATATATTTTTGTTTTTTCTTATATAGTATTAATTTATTATAAAACTTATTAATAAATATATGAATTTTTTCCCTCTAAAGTATATTTATTGTATATATATAATATTTTATGTTGAGTTACTTAATATTATATATTCACAAGTTATTAATTTTATTTAATGTTTATTTACTTTATAATATATATTCTTATGAATATCTTTTTTGTATATTTTATTTATTTTTAATATTTCTTAATTAATTTTTTCTTTTTATTAATATTATGTAAAATTTAAGTAAATATTTTATTGTATATAATATTTTTTTATATATCAAATTAATTTTTATTTCTTTTTATTTCTTTAAGTTTTTATTATATTTAAGTTTCTTTACTTTTTATTTTTAGTAATAATTTTTATTTTGTAAAATCATATTTATTTTTTATTATTAAAAATCTCTTTTTAAGATATTATATTAAAATATTATTTTTTCTTAACTTTTTTATATTTATTATTTACTAGTCTGTAAATTTTGAGTTAATAGTTTTTTTTAAAAATATTTTAGTATATATATATAAAGTTTTTTTTACATATTTTTTTAAAATATATCATATATATTATTTTTTACTTATTACTAAGTAAAATTTATTCTATTTTATTTTTTTATTAAAAGGTTTTTATGAAAAATACTTTTACTATTGATTATTATTTAATAAAAATATTATTATATATATTTATATTAATATTTAATTTTCTTTTATCTTTTTAATATTTTTAAAATAATTTTTATATTTTTATTTATTTTATTGAATAATTATTTTCTTTTAAATATTTTAATATTTACTTTAATATTTCCTATAAACTTTTTTTTATTATTATATTTATTTTATAACGTTCTATTAATATTTTATATATAAAACCTTTTTAAGATGATGAACAGTTTAACGAAGAAAAAGCAGTCCTCATTAAAAAAATTGAAGCGCTTCAGCCAATAGAATCCTCTGGTGCGTAGGGATAATTATGTAAACAATAAAGCTTTTTAACTTTTAATTTTTTTTTTAAGATATGAAAAAGTTATTATTATAAACTTAATAATAAGAAGAAAAGTTTTATATAAAAGAAAAAGTTTTATAAAAAAAGTAATAATAATTATAAGAAAACAAAGTTTTCTGTAAAAAGTATAATAATAATAAGTAGAAAAAGTTATATATAAAAAGTATAATAAATAATTAAGGTAAAAAATTTTATATAATAATAATAAAAGTTATATTATAATAAAAACTGGAACAAGCTTTTGTAATAATTATTAAGCTGTAAATTTTTTTATAAAGTTTACATAAAAATGTAGGAAAAGAAACTTTTTTATATAGTGAAATAATAATAAAACTGTAACAAAAGTTGTACCATTGCATGCTAACTTGTTATTTATAAAAAGTTTATAGAGAAAAGTAAATATATCGTATAAATATATATAAAAAAGCAATAATATTATATTCAATAATAGTAATAATAATGCTAATCTATATAAAAACTAAGAAAAAGCTTAAACTTATTATAATACAATTAAAATTAATATAAATTTATATGAAATTAGAAAAATATTCTTTTCATGAAATTTTATAATTAAAATAACAGATAACTATAAAAAGTTAATGAAAGTTTTTTTATAATTGAATATAAATATTTAATGATATTTTAATAAAAAGATTTGCTTATAATATGAAATGTATTTAATCTACTTTGTCAAGGTTCGAAGTTTTAGAAAAAAATGTATTGAAAAGCAGTTCTTTAATATATGAAATATAAAAGTTATAAAAAGTTATTATAGTTGATTGCTTTTATAATTATTTTATCTTAATCTTTTTTTCTTTAAGGATTCCTTTATTATATTTACTAATTTTTTATATATTTAAATCGGCAAAGATTAATGCAAGAAGCAAAAGACACAATTTCTGCACAGTAACTTCATAATTTGTCAAAATTTTTGTTAAAAATAAAATTAATATTTTATAATTCTTTTTACTTTTTAATAAAGTATACATACTTATACTATAATGAAAGTATAACGTTTTTTACGTTAACAAGGTTACTTGCGAGTCTGAAGTTGCATTGAAAATAATACTGTTAAACGTTTTAATTTTTATAATTTTCTAAATTATAGTTATTATGAGGTTTACTTTTAAGTCTGTAAAGTAAAAGGATTTTTATATTTATAGATAAATAACTAATAGCATTAACGGTAACTAATTTAGTTTAAAAATCGAAGGTTTCTTTGAGTATAAAATTGTAATAAAAAAAATAGTATTACACGTTACATTTTGCATATTTTCTTTTAAATACAGTTACTATTTTATAATAGAAAAAACATATGAAACCAAGTAAAAAGATTTATTAAATTTATAGATTAATAACCATTATCTTTAACAGTAATTAATGCAACTGAAAATTTAAAAGGCTTCTATAAAAGTAAGAAACTGTAATAGAAAATATTAGTAGTATACGTTATAATACTTATAATTTATAAATAACCGTTATTATATTATAAACGTAATAAATGAAGGAAATTAACGTTGGTGGAAGTATCATACATATAGATTAACAACAAATATGTTTAACGGTAATTAATTTAAAATAATAATCGAAAGGCTCCTTTAGACGCCGACGATATATATATTTTTCTCTTAATGTAGTCAATAGAAATTTAATTATTCTATGAAGAGTCCGATAGTCTCCTAAAAATGAAAATTTTAATTCAAGATTCAGAAATTCATGAATTTCTCTTGTCAACTGTAAAAATTTTAAACAATACCGATAAATGAATTATTAAAAAAAACCCTTTAATAGTTTTTATTATGAATATTGACTTTATTGCAGTAGTTTTGTATAAGTTAGCAAAAGAACGTACTTTTTCCTTTTAAGTCGCACAGTGACTTGCAATTAGTGCCTCTTAAGTAAATTTAAAATTGGAAAAGTACACGCATAGAAAACATCATTAATTTGTGGTGTAGAAGTTTAAACTTTTGCAGCTTGCAACATAAATCTACATAAGTTGAGGCAATAAATTATGTCGGAATATAAAAAACTCTTAATTTTTTTTGGGGGCATATAATATAAACACAATCATAACATATAACATATTTTCTATATACACTTGGTGATAACGTATTACTAAAACTTTTATATTTGAATAAAAGAAATGAATCCTAAACAAAAAAATATTTTAAATTAGATACCGTTATTTGTAAAGAAGGCATACGTCGGAGCAATTAACACAAAACTGTATTATACCAGGAATAAAGTAGATCTAATATTACTATTTTCTGTTTAAAGAGTTTAATACACAAATAATACTAAATTAAAAAGAGCGTAGAGAAGAAAGTACAATAATAAATATCATACAGGTAAAAAAAAAAACGAGGGAAAGCTCTCTGTCAGGGAATCGAACCCTGGTCGCCCGCGTGACAGGCGGGAGTACTAACCACTATACTAACAGAGACGCTCTCGTTAGCGAAATTGAAAAATAATCTATATAGTTTAATTTAATTTACTTGAACGGTCGCATACAAAAATTAAAAGTAAAGACAAAAATTGAGCTCTTATATTTAAAAAGGTTTGATTCGCCCGCTTACACATAAAATTAATCTTTCTAGGAAATATTATTTTGTGAGTGAACAATTCAGATGGAAGTGTTTTAATGTGAACTAGCTTTCTCTCACTTTAGGCGCGCCTATCATTATGCATAGCAAATTGTTAAGCTTGTAAAGATCTACAGCATACCAGGTGTAAGGTAAACGTGAGTTTAGCCCATACAGCAAAGTAAATGTTGAAAGAGTCTCCTTGTGCACCAAGCTGAACTTACACTTGATGTTTATACAACCCATTACAGCAGATAACTTATTTGTGTGTACTCCCTCTATACTATGACAGCTTTGTAAGCACAACTAAATAAACCGCGGAGGACTGGTTGGTGGCAGAGTAATTTGTGCGCAAAAGTCAGAAGGAATTACGTCTTCTAAAATTATGAACTATAATCGACAATGCGAGACTTTTATTCAAAAGGTATATAGAGCCATAATGATTCACTTGTCAAGCACGCAGGGAAGACTAAACCTGGGGGAAAATGGAAGTCACAACTTATTCTTTTTTTTTTTAACGCTAACCACAAATTATTATCATCTCGGGAATGAGAACCTATAATGCTGCCGGATTAATTAGCGCAATAACAGAAACGAACTTTATATAAATTACTTTGGGGCCGTGTACCCCTCCTCCCCCGGTTTTTCACCACATTAGGCCAAAAACGAGAACCCAGGGTGTTTCTCCGATCTCCGCTACCCTTTAATTCTTTGAGATCATCGTGATGCTCCTTTAAAAGATATGAGTTCCCTTGCAGCGAACTTAATACTAAATAGTGATGCTCGACTAACCGAAAAGCTGCTGAATTCGTTAATATAACAAAAATGATGAATTAAGCGCCAATGGTAGCGGTGACTCTTCTATGCTCTCCCGTTCATTCGGAGGTGCTCTCGACTCTTTTCCGTTGCGAAGGTTGTGATGTTCCCGAAGGCCCCACGACCAGCCTTTACGCAAAGCAAATACAGTCCTATCAGCCTCTTATTAGTTAATGACAAAGTAGATGAAGCGGTCTTACTGCGTTGCTTGCAAACGAATTTTGAACTAAGACCATACTTCTCCAAAGTTTCATTTGGATTTCGGCTAGAACATTCTAGAACGCAACAGATCCTACGTTTTACAGGATGGAGGGCTAATGCCTTCAATTTGGAGAGGACGAAAAATCTTATCACCGAGTTTACCACAGAGGCTCGCTCCCAACTTGCGCGCCACAACTCTACTATGCTTCTTAACTTGATAAATATTACCTTAAGAGAGGCACTTTTAATACACTTGTGGGCGGTGCGCATCAACCCTAAAACTACTAACAGCAAGAGTTTCATAAGGACCTCTTCTACCTCCCTTGTTCTTTGCACTTTATGTACGCGACTTGCCACCGTGCCTGGGCCTACGACTCATGGGCAATAGCCTCTTTGCTTAAAGGAGGACAAAACAAGCTGCTACATCTAATGACAGGCGCAACGTGGTTTGTTCGAGGCGATTCCTTGTACTAAGACCTCCAGGTTGAGTGCTTGACTACCGTTTTTCAATGCCAAGCTACTGCCAATTAGGAACGACTTACCCAGCGCACCAATCGACAACTGGCAATGAGCTCAGTTACGAACCATGGAGCGGCGCACGTATCGCCCCTGCGCAAAGTACTTTGAATCTATGTTATGTATACAATAAAGGTTAGGGTTATGAGAATGCTTAGACACAAGCTCAGCCATAGCTTCTTTGCTATCACCTGCTGAAAGCTCGTAAATATGATAATTTTGTAATACGATATCTTGCGTTACCGTTTATAGGGTTGCAGGGATCAAGAGCTTGAAAAAATTACCTACAATTAACTACTTTAGTTTCAGGCTAAAACCGAAAACGAGATAAAACTAATGACATAACAAATTTCATTGTTTAAATTCAGTCAAAAGTTTATTTATAAATGAGGTTCCTTTATAAGAATAATATCCCACGCCGATAAGAGGATTTCCTCGACTTGACTCTCAGCTCGTTTCCAACTAATATAAACTTAAATTCGAAGACGACAACGGACCTTATATATTTTTGCCAATTGAAAGTATATCTTGTTTATCTCTATCTGTGTCGCGTTAGAAACGCTACAGTTAAACTTTAGGTGACCTCCTTATCGAAAGTAAGATGAAAAACTAAAAATTAAAGCTACTACAAAGGTAGCGCTTTTTAAAAAGAGAATTTGATTAAGACAATGCAGCGTACAATAAAAATAATTGAATTAATTGCTCAAAAATTATAAAAGCAAGAAGTTAAGTGTTAGCCTTAGAGAAGATAGATCAGTAGTTGCTCTCTACAGCTTATAAAGTTTTGCTTTACGCAAGAAGATAGATAAAAACCTAAAAAAAAAATTGTCGAAAGCTTTGCAAAACTTGATAAAGTCTCAAAAGCGCAGTAACGTAGCATACTCAGAAACAAAATATCTAAGTAGATATTTGTCGTTCTTGCGGAGTACTTTTAGCACAAGTTTTTTCAGTCTTATTAAAAATAATCAAATGAACCTTAAAAAAAGTTGAACAGTGAGTTCAGTAACTTGTCTTCCTTGAACACTTAAATTTTTAATAAATACCTTGATCAAATGTCTGCACTTGGGGAATAGCGAGCATTGCAAACGTCAAAAGTTTTTTAAAATAATTAAATTCTGAGACTTAAACTTTCTTGTAATTACATAAGGTTAATATTGTAAGACTTGAGCAGTCCAGAACACTCGAGAGCCGCGGGCACCTATAACTCATTTATTAATTATAAATAGGGCAACTAATTTAATTTTAAAATTTAAAGAATTTTTAAAAATGTAACTTTTTCTACAACCTAGCCTTTTAATAATTTTACTGTTTAGTGTAAACACTAAATTAAAAAACTAAATACATATGAATTTTAAACCAATTTTTTTTAAAAATATGCACAAATAACTAATATTACAAAAAAAAGGGGGACTAAGTAGTTCGTAATAAAAAGCAGCGAGTAACGCACATTAGTTTTTATAAAAAAAGGATTGCCCCATCTTCAACAAATCTCTTTTTTTAAATTCCAAAATGTTTCTAAGAGAGCTTCAGTTATAGCGTGTGCACCTTAGTCTACAATACAGCTTTATAAAAATTATTATATTAAATTTTCATAAATAGAAGGGTAATTTTTAACAGTTATCAATGAAATAGAGAGAAAAAAGAGTTATAAATAAATTTTAGCACAATAGAAAAACACAAGCATAAAAGTAATATCAAGCCAATAGTTGTATTCAATTTACTTAAAAAAGAATTATATACCGCAAAATATAGTTGCCAACCCAAAAAATCTTTTTTTTAAAAATATGATATTCTCCGATACTGCGCTCGTCGTTATACTTATTGATATAAGTACAACTGAAATTATTGACGTATTTCCTAATACTCCTTAAAGGTAAGAATATTTTGATATTTTTTATTTATGCTTCGCTCGTCTTTAAACTTATTATTATAAGTAAAATTGAAAATAGTAGGTATTTCCTAATAACTCTTTATTGAAAGTTTATTATAATCCTGTTTATTCATTCTATGCCCGTCAGTAAACAATATTATAAAATCGAAATAACTTATTCTCCTAATAATTTATGAATTGCAAGATTATGCTCCGCACTCCATAAAATTTATAAATAAAGCTAAAATAGTAACGTTCCTGCCTAATAATTTACTAAAAGCTAGATTACTAAAATACAATTTATTTATGCTGCGCTTGTCATTAAATTTATTTTTATTAGAACTAAAAAAACTGCACGATTATTAAAATCCCTTTTACTGAAACTTTACTTAAGATTATCTTACTTTAACTAACCTAAATAAGTCTTCCAAACTTATGAAGGAAAAAAAATAGGTAAGATGCAGTGATAATTACTACCGCTAATAAAAAATTTGACTAAAGTACATAATATTAAAATATGCGCTTAAGAGACTTCCTTTAATAAATAATGAATATACTAGTGGTACTTAATAATATTTACATAATAATACTTTGCTAAGCGAAATACTGTTTATAAATATTAAAATTAGTAACTTATAACAAATTTATTATAAAAAATTATTGACCATCTTTAACAAGATTACAAAGTTATTAGAGTAAAATCTTATGAAAAAAATAATGCTATAGTCGTTCACGAAGCCAAAGTAGATAAAAGAAACTCGTATGCAACAGAAGGACTATCAATTGTAGGTGCAGCATCCTTAAGGACAGCCGCAGAGGAGCAGCTGGTGATTTTCACTGCAGCGCCTTCAATGTTGATCTTACAAAGGCCGCACCACTCGCCCAAAGAAAGCTTATCAACTTCGCGTAAAAGTGGAATGCTATTCTTCCGGCATAAAGCTTCAACAAGTTGAATATACGACTTGTCATCACAATCAGAAGCTGAAAATTGAACAAAATTATTATATATTTAAAAAAATGAAAACAAATATTAATAAACTAAAAATTTTCAGAAATGTTTGGCTAATGCTGCAAATATCAGCAAATAAAATCTAAGACTGGGGCGGCAGCAAATCATCATATTTAGTAATTAAGTTAAAAATTTTTGTACTGAAGATAGTCTATATCAAAAAGTTACCTAAAATACAAAATTCCACAATCTTTACATTCGAGTCAAGAGCCTTAACCGTTTCCTTCAGTCCTCGGACCAAGCCACCTTTAACTAAAGCTTGTTTAAGAACTTCCCGAAGGGCACGTTCTCTAGTCATCTCAATTTGCGTTTCCACTGGAGTGGGCAAGGAAGTAGCGGAAGAGGTTTCTTCAGACATCCTCACTAAAAATCCTATATAAAAGAAAAAACGAAGATGATATGAGGACTACAAGCAACAACAGAAAAAATTGATCCGAAAGCAAAAAGGCTGAGGAGCAAACCCGCCTTATAAGAGAGGGTAGAAAAAAGGGGGATAGCATGCTTATAGAATTATTTTATATTTTTCTTGGCACGTGTTGGTTTATGCCCCCATACACATAGTTGGCCTAGTCACGTGGGGTTTTTTTTAAGTTCGTGGATCTCTTGTGCACTAAGTTTGCTCATCATATGTTAGTTGAAAGGCTATTCAGTATTCGAAAACTGCGTTTTCTAAATAGCAGAGTTATTATTACCACAAGACTTGTTATCCTTATATTTGTATATTTTCAAATCGTTTCTTTTTATTTTACTTTTTAATCAATGAGATAAGCCTAAGCTTTACTGTGGAAAGGTTGCCATTAAAGGGGTTACTGAGATAACTAATTAACTCAATTTGCATTTTTTAAAAAGGATACAGCCATACTGTGTCTGTAGCAAGTGCATCCTTATGACGTTTGCGTTTTTAGTTTATCGAAAAAAGTAGTTTTTACTAAATAAAAGCCCTTGCAGAAGGCTTTTAAGTTATCTTTTTTTGACAAAAACGCTTAGTATAGACTTAATTGGGTTGTGACTTTACTATAAGCTAGTTCATTCTTAGAGTTTGAATAAGGTAAGCCAATTATTATAAAATTAATTTACTTTGCAGTTAATTTTTATAATTATAAATAAGCTCTTTATATATAACAAACCTTAATTCGCCATAAACCGTAATGTCTCCGAGTTAAGCACTTGATGAGCTCTGTATAAAAATATAAATTATTAGTTTAGAGGAGGTTCATGGTATCGTTTTGCTCAGTCCTTTGATATTTCTCATTTTTTTCGGTTTAGCAGATTTTTTGGTTAATTGAACAAAGGTAACTAGAGAAAGCCGACTTTAAAAGAGTTTTATTATTTTAGCTTTTAGGATGACTTTTCGTGTCAAATTTTAGGTTATAACAAGTCAAATTGTAAGTAGTTATAAGCGTTGTTGATGGAGGTTATTTTTTACCTTTCGTAGTAAAATTTGTTTTAGCTTACCCACGGATAACGCTGAATATATCTTTTTAGTTGACTTAAAGTTGGCACTGTGGGCTTACATCCCGTTCTTCCTTTTTAAGAAAAACCTGTGTTGGTTTTTTATTAGTAGCTAATACTTTACAAGCACTATCAGGCGAGTTGAGATTAACCCGATTACTTACAACATTTGATTTTATATCATTTTTTATTGTTTAATTTTCTGAAAAGTTATGAAGTCTATTCTAGCTAATAACAACAAATAATAATAATAAAGTTTTCAGAATTAAATAACACAGGAAAGATTAGCATAATATGCTTTTTTTAAAAATCAACCAAGTAGATAGCTCACTTGAATACGATAATTAGAGCTTTTATTTTGAAGCAAAGTTTAGTGCTTTCATAAGGATTTAGTTAGAGTTTGATCTTTTAAAAAGTATTTTCTTCTTTTGGGTTTGGTTTTTTTTCAATTTTTCATTTCCTCTGCTTCACCTCCCTTTGTCAAGAGATCGTCCCATAGAAAGTGTAGTTAAGTAAAGTTTCGTGCTAAAGTGGTTTATTATAGAAGAATTGTCCTTTTTAACTGATAGTTAATTTTTGCGGTCATTCGATGCAAATTTCAGTTGTTACAATTGATCTTAACGGCGATTGCGTCTTTTAAATTATTTATTTAAAAATTATTAAAAATATCACTAAACTATAAGCGCAACATTCTATCATTAAGAAAGTTTATAATTTCAACTAAAGGCTTCAGTGCTGCAGTGCTTAATCCATAAGCAGTGTAAGGAAAGCCCTTAAGTCTTAGTTAACATAATAAGTTGCGTCTGTAGAATTGTAAAAGCAAAGAAAATAAAATATTCTTTGAGGCGGCCTGCACTAGGAAATTTTTTTTTTTCAACGTTCCGTTTAAAGTTTTTTTGGAGTTAAGTAGAATAAAGACTTTTCTTTTCTCTACTAAAAGGAAATATTTACATTTGGGAAGTTCAATTTTTTAAAAGAAATTTATAAAGCTTTTTAGTATAAAATTAAAAAAAAAATTTATATAAAATCTGATTTTATAATTTTCTTATGACCCTTGAAACTCTTTTATTGCACAAAAAAGCAAAACTATATAAACTTTTTAGAAAATATTTTAAGTTATAAAATTATGTGCAAATTTATAAATTTTTTTAAAGTAAATACAGTAGTTTGACTTTTATATAATACTTTCAGAATCTTTAAGTATAGTACAACTTCCGTAATCTTTTAAGCTAAAATTATTGGAAATCTAGTAACTATAACTCTTATATAAAAAATGGAAATTATTAAAGTAGGGTACAACTTTTTGTAAATTAAAGCTACAAATATAAAATCCTAATTATAACTTTTACATAAAACTTGCAAAAATCTTAAAAGTACATTACATCTTTTGTGGGATTTTTTAAGTCAAATTATTTGAAAAATTGGAAGTAATTTAGGTACAACATTTTGTAGATCTGTTAAGCTAATGTAATAGACTAATTATATAAAACTTTTATATAAAACTTCAATATATTTGTAGATATGTAAGAATCCGCTCCTTCCTTCCTTAAGTCACGCCCCCTTTTAACCTCTAAATAGTGCTGGTCGTTATTTAGCCATTTTTTCAGTCTTTCAACAAGCATATACGCCATCGTACACGCAAAAGGAGAAACCCAAGTTGTGTTTATTTTTATTCGTGGGCTGGGTTCATCTTTCTCGCTACGGGGTTCTGGTCTGTTTATGTGTTCTAGTAAACTGTTGTTCTGTTTGTGTAGTCTGCCCGTTTTTGATCGGATATGCTTCTTGTTTCTTTTGTTGACTCAAATTTAATAAGTCGTTTACAATACTTTGTCTATTAAATATTATCCTTAAGCACAACGCCTAATCACTAACTTTTATATAAAATCAATAGAAATTCTTTAAAGTACAGTGCAACATAAAAAATTTTAAAGCAATAACAATTTTATTTTATAAGTCTAAACAATTAAAATAAATTTCAAAAACATTTTCTAAATAAATTTACAATTATCAAATTAAACTACTGCGCGTAGCGTTCAGTCCACTCTCTCGCAGTCTTGTCGTGCAAATCTCTTTGAAGTAAATATTGATCAGAAATTTCAGGGGTCAATGGATCCACTAACAATTACGTGTAAATAATAAAATTAACACGCATTTATAATTTGAGTGAAATGAAAATAAAAGTAATAAGTCTCAAAATTGACAATTCTTAGGTATATATAAAATGAAGTAAATTAAACTAAAATTTACTTATAATTTTAAAAAATATATAGATGAGGGAAAAAAGCTCAAAAAATATATGAGGAAGATTTAAGCTTAAGTTAAACGTAATCACATAAGTTTTAAAAAGCATTTTATTTTAGATATAGTAATATAGTTATTTATTTTAAAAGATTAATTTTAAATTTAGTTATACTAATATAAAAAAAGTTACATGTTTGTTTTCAATAGTTACTTTAAGCTTTAAAAAAAAATTAAAAACTATTAAATTTAAATTTAGAAATAATAATGAAAAAAAAAAGAGTGATGGGATTCACGAACTTTTAAGTTTTACAAAAAAATATATTTAGTTTTTTTTAGTATAAAGTTAAGCAAAAAAATGTATAGAAATTTAAATTATCAGAGTTTATAAAAAATCTTTTTATGGTTAAAAAAATAAATAAAAAATTTACTTTTTAATAATTGTAATGTTCAAAAATAATATATAATAAATATATTTTACTAACAACAATTATGTTATAAAATATATAAAGTAAAGTTATGTACAATTATAGTATCGTTAAGAAACTTTTTTATAAATAATTATAATGATAACGTTGAGAATAATAATAATAATAATGGTAATAATGAAAATGATAAAATAATAGTTATGAGAATAATAATAATAACAATAAAGGGTAGACTCACATGGATTGCAATCAGTTAGGAGCGAAGAAATAGATAATAAAACTTTTGATATTGTCAGGGCAGCGCTCCAATCCTTCTCCTAATATTTTAATAAGAAAAATATTTTAAAAAATTATATATTATTTTTATTTTTAAAACTTAGTAATAATAATAATAATAGAGGTTAGCAACTATTAGTAAAGCGAGTAAAGTATAACAATAAAATGAAAAATGTTAAAATTTTTTTTTCATGTAGTAAAAATATAAACTTTTAAAAAAAATTGCCGTTTTTCTTGAAAAAATTTTAATACAAAAAACTTTTTATAAAAAAATTTATTAAAAAAAATAGTTACTGGTCGCCGCAAGAAACAACTATTTATTATTATAATGAACTATACAAATTATAATGATTTAAATATTTATTAATACAAAAACTTATACAATTTTATTTTGTACTATAAATATTAAATAAATTAAATTTTATTTAAATTTTCATTATAAATATATAAACTTTACTAGACAATTTAGATAAGTTAAAGCTGATACAAAAGTTTTACTAAACTCTGAACGAGTTTAACTTTTTATTATAATAATTTTTTACTTAAAAAAATCGTATGTATTCTTAAGTTCATACTCGTTTCTCATTCAAACTTTAAAATATACTTGAAAGTTAAACGCTTTTAATTATTAAAGTTTTCTTAAAAATGCTCAAAAAACTTTTGATGTAATAAAATTTTTAAAACTTTTATAAAAATTCGTAAATTGAAAGAATTTATAATTCTTAGCTCAATTCTTTACGAATTTTTTATTTTAAGTTCTAGAAAATTTAAAATTTTTGGGATTTTTAGCGTTTCCGTAACACTACAGCTATAAATAAGCTGCTACAATATATATTTATTAATAAATAATTAAAACTTTACAACATAAAGCAAATATGAGCAACGCAAAAAAATCGTTAACAGTTTTTTATTCTTATACATATGCAGAGCATAAAGTTGCTGCTTATTATTACTATTTTTAATTACAAAAAAAGTCAGCATAGCTATATATTTACTATACAGAAAAGAGCTTTTCTACTTGTTTTGTAGCATTTATATATATATAAATACTAAAAAGAAATTCCTCAGCACTTGCTTAGCTATTACTAGCAATAATTTAAATAATAAGCAAAAATTTATCTAAAAACTTTATTATACAAAAGTTATAAATAAATACACTAAATAAATAATAACTGATCACTCAACTATTTATAAAAAATATTTTATAAGTTAATGCAAAATGAGCAATAAATAAATCTTTTCAAAAAATTTAATAAAGAAAAGGAAAAATATAATTATAATAACTAAATTTATTATAATTTTGTAATAAAATTTTTGATATTTATATTTATAAATAATATTATAACAATTAATTAAAAAAAGTAAAGTAATAATTATTATAATATAATTAACTTTTTATAAACATTACATGTTTCACTAATAATAAAAATAAGACATTTTTATTAATAAAGTTATTAAATAATCAAAAAATATTATTACTATATACTAGAAAAAGTGATAAGTAATGTATTTATAAATAGATAAAAAAAATATATTTTATAATAAGAATATAATTTTTTTATATAATACGACTATTTTTTAAGAATTATAAAAATATAGAAATAATATATATGTATAATGAATAATATGCGAAAAAAAGGATATTGAAATTAAAAATATAATATATAACATATAGATAAAAAATATATTTTTAAACAATAAGAAATTAATTTTATATGATACGACTACTTAAAAAAGTATAAAGTAATATATAATTTGTAATAATATGCAATAATATGGATATTAAAATTAAAAATATAATATATAATAATATATGAAACGAATCCAAAAATAAAAGTAAGAAATAATGACATAAAAAGAAATGGATTTTATAACTAACAATACAATTATTATTTAAATATTAATAAAGTAAACAAAAAGTTAAAAGTAATGAAAATAAAAAATATAAATTTAACAATATAACTTAATTAATAAAATAAAACGCACTTTTATGATTAATTAATTGAAAAGTTCTTAATAGTATAATATAAAAATAATAAATATTATATGAAGTATAAAATAATAAAAGTAAAAATAATATATCTTATAAATATTGAAGTTTTATAGTATAATTAAAAAAATTTTTTAGTTCATTCATTTTTATAGATGTTATATAATAAAGTTTTTTGTATTAATTTAATAGAATAAATAATAAAACAAAAATTTTAATATTTATATTATAAGTTCTAAATGTAAATATAGCAAAAATTAGTAAAATTGTTTTAATTACAATAATAACTAGAAATAACAAGAATAAATGTAATCTTCTTGCAGATAACTAAACGATATACTTCTATAAAGTATATCATCTAAATTTTAATACAAAAATATTAATAATATCAACAAATACTTTAATAATATAGAATAAGGCTAATATTTAACTCATAATAAATTATAAACTATTAAGGGTGTTTCTAGTATTTTTATAATAATAAATAAAAATTTATAATATTTAATAAATAATAAATAAAGCAAAATATCTAAGTTTTCGGTAATAATAGGATATAAATTTTATATATTTATTACAAATTAATATATTAGACTCTAAAATAAAAAAAAAGTTTATATATACAAATTTACTCAAAAAAATATAAAAATCTAAAAAAAAATATAAAAATCTAAAAAATAATTTCAATAGCTTTAAAAAATAATTGACTCAAATATAAAAATATATATAAAACCACTAAATAAAAATTATATTTATATAATTATAAAAATACATTAGGATCTACGAACATAATTCTAAAATAATTTTTTCTTAAGGTATTTTTAAAAAATTTTATTTTAATTTTTTAATATATTATAAAAAAACCTTTAGAATGTCCAGGCAAATATTGCCTTGACTATCAACGTTACAATGATAAATTTTAGTAGTAAACTTCACCTTTTACCGAAGAAAAAATATATTTTAGTAAAGTTTCATATGAAAAATAATTATATAAAAATAATAAATTCAAACTAAGGTTTATTTATTTCTCATATAATAGAAGAAAAGATAATAACTAAAAAAAATTTTTTTAGTTTTATATTAGTATGAATGTTTTTAAATATTATTATATAAAGTATAATAATAGTCATTTAAAAAAAAATAATAAATTTTACTAAAAATAACATCTACTTATTTACAAAAAAAACAAACTATAAAAGTTTCTAAACTATTAACATTTGTTATCAAATCATATAAAATAGTAAAAAGTCTTTTATAAGAATACAATACAAAATGAAAATAGTAAAATTTTGTAGATATAAAAATTTATCTCCGACAAAAAAGTTTATAAAAATATATAAAAACTTTTTTACTCTAATAAACTAATCTTTAATAATTAAAGATTATAATACATAACTTTTAACAAAATTCAGTATAATTATTATAGGAAAAAAAAGAAAATATGTAATAAAATAATAAAATAATAACACCACGAAGTATCAAAAATATAAAAAGATTATGCAAAAAATCAAAAACAATAAAATTAAAAAAATATACTAAGAACAAATAATGCTTACTTTTGGTGGAGAGAAAGGATAGTTCTTAGGAAACTTGATATCTAGGAAGAAAATTCCTTCCAAAAAAATCATTATAAATATATATAATAATTTTTAAGGATACAATATAAATACATATAAATAGTAAGAATAGTATCAGTTTAAATCGTGAAAATTTTATTTAATAAAATGTTGTTTCAAATAATATTAATATAATTATATGTAATAACAAAAAATAGTGTTCATAAAAAAGTTAATAAAAACCAAAATCAAATTTAGTCGTAATAAAGTTGTTTGATTATATCTTGTCTAAATAAGTTTAATACAATAATATTTTTATAAAATTTTATAAATAAAAAAGTTAATAATAAATAATATTAAAAACAAGAGTTGATAGTGTAAATCTAAGTCAATTTTAGTCGGAAGAAAGTTATTTAATTATTTTTTGTTTTGAATAAATTTGATGTAATATTATTAAAGTTTTAAAAATATAAGTTAATAATGTATAATAATGGTTAAAGCGTTAAAAATTTAATAAAAAATATTTTGTCTTATATAAGGTATAATACTATTATTTAAGTTCTAAAGAGATAAAATTAAGAATATGTAAGTGCAAAAAATAGTCTCAATAGTATAAGTTAAAATTGCTTTTAGTTGTAAAAATATTTTTTATTGAATCTTGTTTCTAATACTTATAAGATAATATTGTTAATTATAGATTAAAAATTTATATATATTTAAAAAATATTGTTAATAGTATAAATCGATATTATAATTTAGTAGTGAAAAATTAATACACTTTTAGCTTTAATGGTTTTTATAAAATAATAATAATAATTTTGGTATTATTAATTAAAGATAAAATAACTCAAAATTAATTAGATAAGGAAATAATTGGATAATTTTTCTTAAAATTATAGTGTAATTACAGTAATTGGTGTTAAAGTGGTAACGTAAAGTTATTTAACGTAATTAACTCCTTTTTCGTTATTTTTTTTTTACAATCAACAATGGCAACGGTAATAGAAATAATATAATTTGATGTTAATTATAAAAAAATTTATCAACAAGTTTTTTTTGTATAATGATAGTAAAAAGTATAAAAAATCAATGATAGCAACAAACTGATATTTTGAAAAATAAAAATATTTTTAATAAAATTATATTCATAAGTAAAAATTTAAATTAAAAGTTTTTTAAAAAATTAATGTTTTTTTGATTGTTAAATAGAATAAAAATTTAATCAATTAATAAAAAATAAATAAAAGTGAACTTAAAAGTAGAAAATTAAAAACACTAATTATTATGATATTCTAAAAGTGTTAAGTAATATTAATTCAAATTATTATAAATATAAATATAAATTCTGAAATTAATTTTAAAAAAAAAATTATAAAAGAACTTTACAGCAAAAGTTCGAATAACCAATTTTTATCATAGATATTTTAATTATAATATCGATTTTAATAAACATTAATTCAAATTAATTTCATCATAAAAGTATGATTAAGAATTTTCGATCTCGTAATAGTAGCAAGTTTAAAAAAAATTTAATAAATAACTAATAAAAAAAAGACAAATTAAAAATTTAAATTACTAAATATCTGTTAGCTACATTTACTTTTATTATTAATAAGTTTATATATAATACTCAATAATGAATAAGTAGATCGGTAAAAATTAATTTATATGTAAAATTTCATAAAATTATTTAACAAAAAAAAATTTAACTTTGTTAATTTATTTAAGAACAAAAATTATGTATTTGATAAATTTATTAACAAATTCTTTCTTCTAATAATAATATTAGCTTTTAAAAAAATATATAATAAAAGAAATTAAATATTAATTAGAAAATAAATTTAAAAAAAACCATTAAACTCAGCAGTTTCTTTTCGACATTAAAATTAATTTTATATAAATTTTGCTCTAAAAATATCACCTAACTTTTAATAAAAAAATTTTAATACCATTTTCATAAACGGAACCTTCCGGACCTTTAATGGAGGCGGACCAGTGCTGGAGGTCTTCGTCATCTACAGGGCCAGCGCTATTGATTGTATTCAAAAATAATATTATTTTAAGTAGTTCTGAAAATCTTTAGAGTTTATGTAATATAAATAATAAATAGCAACATAAAATTTAAAGCAAAGTTAATAAGAAATTAAATCTTGAAAAAATACAATTTTAACAAAAAAATTAATAAAAAGCTAAAAAGTTAATATTTATAATCAAAAGGCTTTATAAAATGAATTTTGTTGTTAGATAATAAATTAAATTTATTATATAAATAAACAAATCTACAAAAAAGGATTGGTTTATAAAATTCTTAAAGTTAAAAAGTTAATATTTAAAACTAATATCTCTAAAAAAAACTTGTTATATTATGTATTAAAAACAAATGGCACGCAAGGTTTTATTGTAAATTACTGTTAGATTCTCTAAAACAAAAGTTAAAACACGTGTAATAATCTTTAACTATGTTTGGCGTAGGAAAAAATGCAGAAACGTAAAGTAATAATCTTCATACAAAAAAAATAAAACAATTAAACGTGAAATGTGGAGAAGTTATATTGAAAAGTTGCATTAAAATAGTTCAAAAAAATTTTAAGCTCAAAGCAAAAGTTTGTTAAAAACCACCTGCAATTACAAGGAGGATCGAGAGTTATTTCGATCAACTCTTTCTGAATCCTACCACCAAAAAAAAACTTATTAAAAAATGATTACATTTAAATAATAGTAAGCTACGATTCAAAAAAATATGTATATTTTTTAAAAAAGGCGCTTCAAAACCTCTTGATGCAGGAAGGTCCAACTTTAGAACCTAAAAAAATAAAAATTTAATTTAATATAAATACAAAACATTTATAAGTTTTAAATTTACTAAAAAAAATTAGTTTATAGTAAAACAAAAAAGTATTTGTTTAGAAAAAAAATATAAACTTTACTTGCGTTTGCTAAGAATTTTTCGATTAAAGGATTTTTTTTTACTGGTTTTGTAGAACCATTTTTTACTGATTTATTCAAGAAATTTTCATTTTCTTTCATACAAAATCTCTTATTAACTTCATTAGCCGCTTGGTCAGTGCTTAAGCAATCATCTTTTTCACTTGATATTTCTCGCTCCGTAGTGACAGGCATATCCGTATTAAGATAATCTTTTAGCAAAGAGCAACGTTTTTTAGCAGTTGTTTTAGGCGTAGGCATTCCGACTAATTTAAAATATAAAAAAAAAAGACAGAAGTATAAATAATCAGTGTATCAAAAAAAATAGCGTTACCAAGAACAGGAAAAAAAATACCTTCAGCCGATAGTAAAAGTGGTCGCAAGAGCAATAAAGGGGCTACTTATTAAATAGTCCAAAAATTTATAGAATAGTGGTTTGATATTTTTCTTATATACTCCAAATTGGTTAATCTCCAATAAAAAAAAATGAGAGCCGGACACGAATTATGAAACGTAAGAAGAGAAGAAAAGACAATGGAAAGGAAGAAACAAAAAAGGGAGAAGAATGGTTTTGTTTAAATACACCTTAATTCGGTAAATTTTCATAAAATGCCGCCAAATTTTGTACTACTTTATGAAACTTGCTCACTCTATTTTATGAATTTTACTTAGTTGAGTGCAAAATGCGAACTATTTAAGTGCGCCTTGGCAAAAGTTCCTCATCGCGGACATGAAAGCATTTTCATGAGGATATACGAGAAGTTGTGGGCTCCCCTGCTTGCATGGCGGGATCACCCCTTAAAACTGGCGTCGTTATAAGCAAGTTGGTAAGTATTAGCTTCGATTGAGGGCCAGGTTTTAAACAAAGTATGTGACCGTCTGTTACGGACTGTTCGAGGCTGGCTTAAGTAAAAAAGTTTCTCAACTAGTTGCATAACGAAAAATATTTTGAAAAAAAAAGTTTTCCTCTTACATTCCTGTGTCGCTCAAATCTTATGACCATCAAGGAAGAGGGCTCCCAACCTAAGTTTGACGACAATTTTATAAAAACAATTTTACAAGACTTGCTTGAGTTATTCGAGGATAAAGATACAGTAATACATAACTAGCAATCTTATTTTTAATAAGAGTAGCTAAAATAATATTTTCTCTTAAGATATCTTATAAACTTATTAGCAATAACTATGGCATCCCTATTGATCTCTCAAAACGGTACTTAAAACTTTTTTCTTTGCTATTAGAGTTTTTGCTAAAGTCCAAAGTAAATAATGAGTAAAATATAAGCTTTTATGGCGGGCCTATTACTCAATTAATTTTTTTTTTATCCAAAATAAATGTAAAATTTTAATTAGTTATAAGATTAGCGATATATGCTGACCTCCAAGAGGCTCTTTATAAAAAAAATATTTATACTGAAAGTTATATTTATTTATTAAATTTCATTATAGCATTATATTTTATTGCGAATATTTTACCTTCAAATATACAGAATTTTGCATTTATTTATAAAACAACTGGAGAATAACTCTTCTGGTTCTCGTAACTTTACTATTCGTTACGTTGTTGGTGGAGAACTCCTAGAAAATTCTCAAGTTCATATAGCTTTGGTGGAATCTTTAGAACTTGATGGTATTTTTTTACAGTTTAAAAATTCTTTTTAAAAAATGTAAGTTTGTAAAAATCTCATAATAATATTAAAACGTTATAATTATTTTATAAAATAGTATAAATTTATTTACTAATTTTAATTGATTTTATTGACTTCATAATAGAAAAGCTCAAAACATTTCAAACTGTTGGATTTTGCCACGTTTATAGCGTTCAGCCCTTAAAATTTTCAGTAATTTTCTTTTTGCCATAATTAAGTTTCTTTAAAAAAACCGTTGAAAAAATTACTTAATACAGGAAGACATCTCTTTTGCCTTCAAAATAAACAACGAGAATCTTTTAAGGTTCATTGTGAGCTTTAAATTTTTATAATAAATTTTTGTAGATTTCTTAATAGCGTAACTCTTGTGCTAATTTTAAATTATTCTAATTGATGTAAAAATAGAAAAATCTGCTGTTGAATTAAATAGAATTTTCTCTCAATATATATTCAATTATAAAAATTTAGTCTACATTGAATTTTTATATCTTAATTTTCTGACATGTTTTTTACTTAATAAGAGATATATATTTATTATGCATAATAATTATTTTTTCTGCCAATTTTTAAGACTAAACTTTTTAATAACGCACGTGTAGTTTATTTTATATATTATTATATATAAATTACTTTTATCAACTATACACAAACTTCTTAACTTGAACTTTTTATTAAATTTTGAAATAAATTTTTATTTAAGGGTATCTCCAGTGTCATGCGACTTTCTTCCGGTTTGTATATATATTTTTTTCTTAATAAACTTTTTAATATTAGAATTTTTTATTAAATATAAGAGTTTTAAAAATTATTTTAAAACTTTAAAAAAATAAAAATAGAAAGCAACATTTTTATTATAATTTATAATAAAAACTTTTCAATAAAAATGATTAAAAGAACTGAGAACATTTAAGTTTTTTGATTATTTTAATATTTAACTTTTATATATTAATAATATATGAAAAGGCTTATAATAAAATATATATTTTTTAATTTTGAATCTTATTATTGATAACTTTTTGTACTCTTTTTACTTTAGTATTTGTAACTTTTGGCACTTTTTTATTTTACTTTAATACATAAAATTCTTAGAAAAATTTATTTTTAAATTTTACTATATTAAATAAAAATATAATTTTAATATAGTAACTTTATATATTACTATAATATTATAATTTTGGTTATAATAATTATATATAAATTTACTTAAATACTTTAAAGTTCTATTATAATATTTGTTAATTATATTAATTTACGAAAAAATAGTAATAATGCTTATTTATAATGGATATTAACTTTTATTTTCTTTTATATTACTTTATATATGAAAAGGATATTCGTAAATATAATATTAATAATAAAGATATTAAAATGCTAATATTAAAGAAAATCCCTTTCTTTTAATAGTCTTCATATTATTATATTAACATATTAATAAGATAATAATCGATAATAAAAAATTTAATCTTTTAAAAAAGCTGCTGACATAAACTTTTAAAAAAATTATTAAAATTATTTCAATATATATTAATATACTTTAATATACTTATAATTATGTATATATAATTTTATTAAGAAGTTTAGAATAAGTTTAAGAATTCACTAGAAAAAATATAATAAGCTTCTAAAAAGTAAAAAAAAATGTTTTTTAATAAACTTTTAAATATTTTTAAAAATATATTTACGTACATTTGAAATAAGTGAATACTAAGCAATTTTTCAAACTATTGATTGGTTAATATTATTGTATTAGAAAAAAAAATTAGAAAATGAAGAAAGTTTATTTTTATAATATAACTATAAGTAAAATTTCTTAAAGTAGTAAAAAATTAAGTTTTTAAGAGTATTTTAATATACACCGCTTCTAACATTAAAATTTAAAGAAATAAATTTTTTTTGGGAAGTTAGTAATGAATAAAGTTTAACTGATAATAGATGTAATATTATAAATACCAAAAAAAGTAGCTTTCCGAGAAAATCTTATAAAGAAAACAAATTTATAAATATTCAAAATAATCTAAAGTAAAAATTCAATTAATAAAAATTAGAAAAAAATAATAAATAAAGGTTAAAGAAGTATTAATAATTATAAATTATAAATAAGAAAGTAAGAGGTATTATTCAAAAACTTATAAACTTTTAAGTAAAAAAAAAAGTTAGTAGTAAAATTTATAGAAAAAAATTACTTTATTATATAATAATTATACTTCTGCGCAGCAGCCACTACTAATGCTCTTTTAATTGAATAACTCAAATTAGGCCAATCGCAGTCCCTTACTTTTGTATAACCTTTCCAGATTTTTTTACTCACCATTCTCCATTTATATTTGCATAATTATTTATGAAGTTAAAAAATAGGTTTTAAGGCTTTCTTGTATCTTAAAGTTTTTTATAGTTTTCTGTAATAAAGTATATATGAAAAATTATAATAATTATTATCTTATAAGCATTTTTATGGTAATGAGATTTTTATTTATATTCCTTCATTTGTTATAACTTTCAGTATATATCAAAATAATTTACACTAGAAGTAATTCAAAAATTTATTATTTTGTGCTTATTACTATTATCTAAAGGCCTTTAAGAAAAATGAAACTTTGAAAAGTACTGAAGCGAGGACTCCTAGTGAGCTATTTGAAAAAAAGGAAAAATTATTAGATTTTTATATTTTAAGATAAAAAACTATATATATTTATGAATAATTATTAAAAGTTTGAAAAATAAATATTATAATAGTGCAGTTTTTAGATTTATATTATACTAAAGGCTATTATAAAAATAATAATAGTATTGATAACAAACTTACAGAATGTTCCGGATCAACAAGAGTCTTTATTGGTTGAAAAAGAAAACGGGACCACTAAGAGGTGAATAATAACGATTATCGAATATTTTTACTTTTTTTTAAAGTGATTAAATAATAGTGATAACTGTTTATATAAAAAACTTTTTTATTTATTATTGTTATAAATTTTTATAAAACTGTGGAAGAAATTTTTTAAACAACTGTTTATAATTAGAAAAAGTTTGTTTGATAACAAAAAGTCATTTGCGTAACAAAGTTTCGTTACTATATTAATTACTTTATAGTTATTATTATTATATTGAAATTCTATTTATAAAATTCGATTTAAATTGATACAAGAAAAGTTTTTATTCAAAATTTTCATATTTCTGTCAAACTTCTTTTTTTATAGTTTTCATACACTTTTTACACTAAACTTTTATAAATAAATAAAATTTTATTTTTTATATAGTTATTATTATTTTATACAACAGCGCTATAATTACTTTAAGGAAAGGTTATCTTAAAAAAGTATAACTTTTTTAAATTTCTCTTTTTTTTTTTATATTAAACTTTTATAATTTATTAGTAGTTTATAGTTTCCATATTATAAAAAAATTTCATTTTATTTATTGTTATTATTTATATAACGGCGTTTTAATTAATATTATAAAAGTTTATATATAAAAAAGTATAATTTTGCTAAGTTTCCTGGTTTTATAATTTTTTTTAACATTTTTTATTGAAATTTTATAAATTAATAAATATTTACAGTTATTACCATAAATAACAGCGTTATAGGTTATAAGATAAGTTTATTATCTAAAAAAAAGTACGATCATATAATCTTTTTATATTAAAATTTTATATATAGATAACTGTTAACTTTATTTTTAATTACAATTATTATAGAGCATTTTTAGATAAAATTTATTAATTTAATTTTCTCAGATGTAGAAAAGCGTTAAAATAATTTAAAGTTTTTTCTCAAGTTTTTTTTTACTGTTCTTTTATAGCTTTTCTTATTTTTTTTTGAGCAGCATTTTTATAAATTTTTTATAACTTTTATGTGTAAGAAAAATTAATAATATATAATAAAATTATAATTAAAGGAATTGTAATAGTTTTGTTTTATATCTTTTTTAATCAGTTTTCTTATCATTATTAATATATAAAACATTTTTTTAGGTTTATTATTAATTATAAAACTCCTTATTTATAATAAAAAAAAGTTATTTTCATAATTATTTATTTTTTAAATTTATTTCTATAATACGTTTTGTTAAACTTTTTTAAGTTTATTATTTGAAAGTGGCCCTTTTTTTTTGGTTTCACTTTTGTATCCATAAAAGTTTACTATTGTTTTTAGCTTATTACTTGTATATAATATTTATTATTAAGTAGAGTTTTAGGACCTACAAAGAAGAAGGAGGATAAGCGTAGTCTTATGGAAAGTTCTATTAATTCTGGTATAGTAATAAGTTATAACTATAATAATAACTCCCTTTTAATTTTAATTATTAATTTCATTTGAAGAAATAAAATCCATTTGCTTTAATAATTTAAATTATTAAATATAAAAATTATTTTTAACTTTTTTAAATAATAATTAATATAATGAGTTGCTTAACAAATATTAATAAATTGTATATGTTACTATTTTTTATCCCTAATATTTCTACTTGATAAAAGTGAGCGTTTCAAAAAATAACTTATATATATAGGAAGCAGTAATTATTTAGAAATTATTAAAAAAATTAATTCGATTGGTGACGAAGAAAGCGACGAGGATAATAATATTAATAATGAAATAAGTATTAATAGTGATAGTAAACAAATTAATAATAATATGATATACAAAAGCAAAAGTGAGATAAATAATAAATGTAAAGAAATAGATAATAATAATGAAATTAGTAACACCAATGATGGAATAAATAATTATAAGCATCCTAGTAAAAAAAGTTTCGAAAAAAATCAAACCGAGACTGATCCACCTCCTTCGGTTGACTTGAATAAAAAGTTTTCATTGGCTCAAAAGGAGATTGTTCACCGAACTGTCAGCTCGGATGGTTATTTGGGTCCTTTTTATATATTTTGCACCCATTTAAATATATTTGCGATCTTTTCAGCTAAATTTTTTTTTCATCAACGTTTTCAATCATTTTTTTCTATTTTTCATTTATAAAAGTAACAATAATAAATAAATAATAATATTTAAAGCGCATTAATTATAATGTAATATTATAATAAAAAGTTTGATATAGTAAACTAAAATTATACATTTTATTAGATTATTATAATTTTAATTGATGTAATTTTTCTTTGTTTGTTATTATTTTAATTATATTTTATTAGAATTGAATTTATGAAATTTTTTATTTTAAATTTATAATCTCTATCATCATTTTTCTATAATTTACTGATTCATAAATTATTATCTTATTTTTAAGAAAATTTATGTTTTTATTTTTTCTTACGATATTTTTCTAATAATAACTTTTAAATTATAAAAAATAATATTTATTATTATTACTTTATTATAATAATTTTACAAAAAATATAATTTGTATGCAAGTTAGTAGCAAAGTTACGTCAGTATTTACTATTTCAAAGTTAATAAAAATAATTTTTTTTTATTTTAAAAGAAAATTTATTTTTTTATATTTTGTCTAGAAAAAAGTTTTGCTTATATAATTTTATGAAAGTCAGTTTAAAAGTTTATTGATTATTTTTTTTATCTTATTTCTATACTTTATTATAAAATATTATAAAAATTATACATTAATTTTAATACATAAAACTTTTATGCTACTATTTTTAATAAACTTTTTATCAAAAATAAATTTTATTTAATTTACTTTATGTTTTTTTTATTTAAATCTTTTTTAAATTATTCTTCGTATAAAAATGAAACCTCTTTCTACCTCTAATTAAATTGAATAATTTTTTTTATTATATAAAAGTTACTGAGAAAATTCTTGTAGATGACGAAAATCCCAATCTTGCCAGTAAATTTTTATTATTGACTTTATTCAGTTTATATATATATTTTTTATTTTTATAGTTAAAAAATATAGTTAATTATTCTATAAAGTTGGATGTACAAAAATATTTAATTATTTATAAAAAAATTATTATTAAAAAAACATTCATTTGTTGATAAATTTAAATTATTAAAAAAAGTTCTTAATAAACTTTCGGTAATTTTGAAATTATTGCAGCTTAAAAGTTTATATTACTTATAAGTATATAATAATAAACTTTACTATATTTAATATTACTATTTGCCTATATTTTTTGAAGTTATTATAAATTTATATACAAGAAATTATCTAAGAATTTATAAAAATAATTTATTTCTTTTTTATCTTTTATAAACCTTTAAAAATTTAGTTTAACCTCAAAATTAAAATTTTAAACCAAAAAATTTATAAATTTTAAATTATTTTTTTATTTTTTTATTAAAAAATCTACTTAGAATTTCTTTTTAAAAATTACAGAGATCAAAATAATTGAAACATTAGAATTATAAAAACTTAGTAAAATTAAGACTTTAGATTTTATAAAATAAGGAAAAAAATTTTAAAAAAGTCTCGAACCTTTAATAAAGTTGGATATTTTTTTTAAATTCTTGGAAAATTTGTTTAATCTCAATTTTACAATTTATAAAATTTAAATATTTTTTATATTTGTTTATAAAAAGTTGTTTAGAATTACTTTTTAAAAGTTATAGGAATAAAATAAAATTATTTAAAATTAAAACTAACTTTAATGCAAAAAAAGGATAAAATCCTTTAAAATTCTCAAAACTTGAAATAAGTTGAATTTTGAAAATTTTCGCTTTTTTTTCGTTTAAAATCTTCGGAAATTTTGTTTAATCTCAATTTTATATTATAAAACCAGAAAATTAATAAAATTTTATTTATTTTTTAATTTACGTATATAAAAAAGATGCTCAAAATTACTTTTTTAAAAATTAAATGAAAATCATTGAAAAACAAAGTTATAATAACATAGTAAAATTAAGGCTTCAGATTTAATAATAAAAAAAGGATTAAATTTTATTAAAAAAATTCGAAACGAATTATGTGAATTTTTTCTCTTTTTAAAGAATTTATTTATTTAAAAAAATTTAAATATAATTTTGGACTTTGGAGCTTTTTAAAAATGCTTTTAAAATTAAAATTAAAAATCATTTTTACTCATTAAAAAGTTTGTTGTTATAAATCTTTTATTAAATACTTTTTATATATTTATTAAAAAAAGGGAGTGAGGATATTGTATTTGCAGCTCCGAAACAAAAATATCAACAGTTAGCAGAAAATTTCAAGAGAAAAAAATCGAAAGGCAACCAAAAAACCCTGAATTGTTTTTTTGGCAAAAGTTGAAATTTTATATATTTAATAAGTTTTCTGAAGCCATTAAAATTTTAATTTCGTTTTATTTTTTATTATAAATTAAAAGAAAAATAAATGGCAGTATAAATTTTTTTAATTATATTATTGTACTGAATATTGATTATTTATGCAGTAAAGTTTTAAAATTTTAAATAGATGATATAAATCGAGATTTTTAATTCGAGCTAACTATATCTTACTTCCCAATCGTTGGAAGTTAGCAGAAGTTGTTTTTCCAAATTAAAAAACCAGGAAACTCTATTGGAGACTATAGCCCATTAGTTAACTATCCTGTATTGGCAAAGTAGCGGAGACTGTGATACTCAAAAGATTAAAAAACTTAACGAAAGAAAAGAACATTATCCCAGAGTGTCAATTTGTTTTCCTTGAAAAACACTCCACATCTCAACAGATTCTAAAACCTTCAGGATGTGTTACTTAAATATTTAAACGATCGAAAATATACCACAATAGTATTTTTTTTAGACATTGTGCAAGGTTTCGATAAAGATTGACACAGAGGAATTGTCTGCAAAATGACTAAGTTTAACTTCCATAGGTCCTTAGCCCAGATGACAAAAAATTACGTATTACATAGAAAATTCACAGTCCGTATAGGAGCGGTTAATTCCTCAAGGATCACTTTAATCACCGCTTATAATTCGCGATTTATATGGCAGACATCCCCAGATCAATTACCTTATCACTAGCCCTATATGCGGGACAGCTATATTCTGCGGCTCTAAATCGAGGGCGCTGGCTATTAAATGCTTACAACTTTATTTGTACATTCTGGAAACCTAGTTTACTAACTGGAAGATAACGATTAACGCTTCTAAGAGTGCAGCAATGATAGTTCAAGAAGAAGAGTTAATATTTGAAAGTGCCAAACTCGAAATATATTAAAAACTGTTATTCCATGGAGCTCTTGTGCTAAGTACTTAGGAGTTATTATAGATCATAAATTAACTGGGACCTCTCATGTTGAGTTCGCCCTGAGAAAAATGAACGCTGCTGAGAATGTCCTATACATACTATGTAGGTGCAGCAAACTCTATCTTAAACAAAAGCTGCTTTATATGAATCCATTATTCGCTCAATTATGGTGTTTGCTTCCGTTTGTTAGTCCTACTCTGAGCGTCATATAAATAAACTGCAGATTTTTCAAACAAACTCCTCAGGATGATCACTGACGCCCCCTGGTTCATGCGTAATGCTCAGTTACATTCTGAATGCCAAATGAAAACAATAAAGACTTTGTTCTTACAAAATGGGCCCAAATGCTATAAAGGATAAAGTGAACATACAAACAGTTTATTAGCCACTGCTGTCAGTTATAACGCAGACCAGTATAACAGGTATGAAAGACCTAATTACATTTTAAGATCGCTTCCTTTGCGCCCCGATTTACCACCCTAATTATTTGTCGTTTGCTCATTTATAGTATAATTTAATTTACACTTTATTATTATTATTTAATAATAAATAATTTATATGTAAAAGTGACAGGATACATATAAACTACTATTTCAATATGCTTAATCGACTTAAGTATTATTATAATTTCTTTTAATACTTATGAGAAAAACAGCGTATTATAGTATATTTATATATTATCACTTAAATTATTTTATTATTATTATTTACTGATCTTATTTACTTATTTTATTATTCTTGATAATAAAGTCGGTTTTTTTTTGTTGGGTTGTTGCTGTGGACCTCTTTCTTCTTATAACTTGCCCAAGGGCTGCCACGCAAACACTGAAGATAAAGACTCTTCGAGGGAGACTGAATCCTTCTTTACTTCTCTTATAGTTTAAAAGGGAATAAGGATTAAGCAGCAGAGATGTGCTATGCATATCGACTGTAGTATGTCAGTAAAAAAATTAAATAAAAAAAATTTAAGGACGTTTGCTTCTTAGAGAACGCACATTTAGCTGCTTTTCGGTTGCTGTACGAAATAATGATTCTATAGCTCAGAACATAGAAAAGATATTGGGACGTTGTATTATATATAGGATCAACTATTTTCTTTGAATGGTAAGAGGAGGGATATGTCATTATTGAGGTATCCGTGGTGCGGTATATAATATAGTAGGGTAATAAGAACGACAGTTCGTTTGTCCCTACTTCATAAGCTTTTGAGGATTATAAGCTGTTAGCTCAGAGGCCCTTACTATCAATATACTTTGAACCTTAGAGTGATTTTTATTATACCTTTAGTGGTCCCTATAATAAGCTAAATACACGTCCTTCATAATTTGTTCGGCTTGAAAGAGTAAGTTAAATAAGCTAATCTTTTGCGAGCAGCAATTGTCGCTAATTATATATTACTTTGTTTTCTCAAAGGTTTAAGTCTTTTAAAGTATGTATTGGGCTCGCGGTTAGTTGTTTTTTTCCGTTGGTTTCAAGCTTTTGGTTTCAACGGGTGGCGAAAATTGAATCAATGTTGTCAATAAGCTCCTTCAAACTTACACATATGTTGTCTTCATGTCAGATGTAATTTAATGACTTGTCTTTCTCTTGTTTTCCTCCTCTCATAAGTCCTTGTAGTTATCCTTTTAGATTGTGTTTTCACCCTCGATTTCGCTGTTTTAAAAATAGTTTGGTGATCAGAGTTTTTGACTTATTTTATTTTGTCGTTGGTTTTTATTTTCTTTCGTTAGATAATAAGTTGTGTCTCACAAAGTATGCCTTCTTCGAAGGAGACTATTATTTAAGAAGCTATTCTTCCTTGATAACTATTCTAAGGTAATAAAACAATCCACTATACGCTGAGAAAATAGTAAAGTTTTACATGAGGCGTTGTGCCCAATATTTTTTCAAATGCTTTTTGCTCGGCTCCGACCTTATGTACTCCCAATCGTACATAACAATAGCCTGAGTAGTAAAATGTTTGGGCATTAGGTAGGTTATACCGTCTGGTCCACAGCCTTTTTGGTTTTTAACGAGTTGATCATATTTTTAATCCTTAACAACTTGTAAAATAAAGATTGTCTAAGTCATGCTTAGAGATCGCCTCATACCAAGGTCCCTCTTCTTGGGTCATAGTAAAACCCGGAAAACGAAGGTAAGTGTTGAGCAAAAACATTAGATTTTTTTTTTATCTCGGCAGTATATGCTACGCCATTTTCATGATATATAAGTGGTACGTTTAATAAATTGCGGTAAGGGTTGAGGGACCTTTCTACTTTCCGTAACGACAAGTCCGCAGGACTTAAATATTTTAGCTTTCTACCCAAAATTTGTTATTAAGTTTTGTCAATTCCTTCTTTAATAAATTATTAACTTTGTTGTAGGCTTTTTTGTGTGTTTATATATTCTGATTTAAGGCAGCGTCTTCTTTTAATCATCTGCACAATAGCGGGAGATATTAATAAGTCAAAAGATCTAGAAGTCTTATAAGTGGAACAGAATTGTAAGCACTTCGGATTGTTGATTCTAGATGATTGACCGCATCATCCATATCTGGCTCAGATGGCAAAAAAGTATATTTATTATGATTTTCGTCCAGTAATGCTTGAAAAATTGGCAGTGAGTTATTTTGATAGTATCTGAGCCTTCAAGAAGAACGGTATCTCCCCTCTCTATAAGAACTGGGCTAAGGTCGGAGGACAACTCGTGAATAGAATTAATAATTGCAGTGACATAAATTTTTTTGATAGTGCAAAGTCCAATACATCAGTGTTTCCCCATGGTGTTATGTGAGTTGGGTCATCTGGCCCTAGATTAAGGGTATCGGATAAATTAGCTCAGTTAGCTAAGGGCTCCCATTTCTATTCGAACAGCGACTGTGCCAATGGGGGTGCTTGCTAGTGAGATCTCCAGCCAACTAAACTGAGTTCGATAAGCTAAAAAATATATTCTGAGCCCTCATAAAATAACTTCTTGCTCGGGATAAGCTGATATCATTATTATGTCACCATTCTTCTGTAATTTGGTGCTTACCCCAATTACTTCTAGGTTCTGAAGGTTGCTTATACATAACTCCGTGTGTAGGATACCTTTCTTAACTAAAATTGCTATCCTTCCTTTTTTCGAGGTCATGCAACGCACCTATAACTGGTATAATAAGGTATTTAAAACTTATTACTTTCTTCAAGTGAGTTTCCAAAATAAGAATAATATCAATTTGTTAACAAGCAATAAGTAATTCAAACCTTTTTGTTTCTTAGGTGTTCGCACTCCAAGATAAAATCCTAATATTTTTTAGCTATATTCATTATTCCTTTCCGATGTTAAGTTTCTCGAAGAAGTCGCCTATTGATTTCGAAATTCGATTACTAATAGTCTCAGTTAGGGAGACTACTATATGATTAATTTTTAATCATCCAAGCTAGCAAAAGTTGAAGGTTTTCCTATCACAACTCGACATATTGCGAGCGTATCTCATTTCTGGTTCTACAGAACTATCTCTCATATTTTCCTTATTATCAGTTCTCCTAACTTCCTAAGAGGAGAGTTTTTAGGATGAAAGATGCATCACCTGTAGTTTGCAGTGTAATCGCCATTACAGTTTGCACATCTTGGCTTTTCATCTTTTTCTTTAGGACATAACTTCGTGGCATGATCTTCACCGCATTTAGCACATTTGTAGCCAGAGGAACAGGATTTTCGGTATGTCGGAATAATTGGCATCTAAATCATTAGCCAACCCTTCACTATTCTTTATAGGTTCCGCAAAGACTGTAATGTAGCCTATATTTCTTATGTTATATATACTTTTTTCAGATTAAAGTATTTAATAAAGAGCAAAGTCAGTGGGGTTCGAAGCTCGTCATAACGTCGCATTCTTATGACCACAATAGGATGGAACACTTTAATTTTCAGCTCTTATTTAATATACTCGGCGTCTAGCTCAGTAAAGAGGACATGCAAGACCACTTTCATCACTTTTTCAGGAGATCACTGAGAAGTATTCAAGACCATTGGCGACAAGTAGGGATGTAAGTTTTCTAAAGTCATTTTCGGAAGGAACCA